TTCATAAAACTCAGCCCTAAAAATGTGAGGTACAGTAAATAAGAGCTAACTATAAAGTCACCATGGTGGCGATTAGCTCACCAGTGTCTTTTCAATGCTGCAGCATTGTCACTGGTGTGTTAGCCAAGAACCAATCAAAATCCACATGTAAATGTGGTTATACATATTAAAGACCTGCCAAGTAAAACTCCAGTTAGCTGCCAAAATGAACACTATGAGAGCAATGAAAATGAAGAAAACCAAAATCCTCTGAAAAAGAATTGCAAATTTCAAGGGAAGAAGAAGAAGTGTTGGCAAACATGGTACAACCCTGTTTCCAAAAAAGTTGGGACAGAAATCATTTGAACTCTATATTTAATTAAAAATGGTACAAAGACAACATATCATATGTTGAAACTGAGAAATCGTTTTTTTGTTTTTTTTTAATATATACACATTTTGAATTTGATGCCAGCAACATGTTCTAAAAAAGTTGGAACAGGGGCATGTTTGCCACTGTGTTGCATAATGTCTTCTTTTAAAAACTGTGGAGACCAATTGCTGTAATTTTGAAAGCAAAATGTTATCCATTCTTGCTTGATATAGGCTGCTCAACAGTTTGGGGTCTTCTTTGTTGTATTTTTTGTTTGATAATGCGCTGTTTTCAGTGGGTGACAGGTCTGGACTGCAGGCAGGCCAGTTTAGCATTCAGACTCTTTCACCTTGGAGCCATGCTGTTGTAATACATGCAGAATGTGGTTTGGCATTGTCTTGGTGAAATAAGTAAGCCTTCCCTGAAAAAGATGTCATCTAGATGGCAGCATATGTTGCACACAATTCAAAATAAATCCCGCTTAAAATGTCAAGCAGTTTTAGCTTTCATTTCCTATTTTTCTTGATCTCAGGAATTCAATTTACATGAGTGAAAATTACAGTAGTATATATTAAATGACAACTAGTAAAAATTCTCTTTTTCCTTGTAAGAAATTAGTTTTTGCTAGGAAATGTCATTTTTACATGTGTAAATGACATTCCCTTGCAAAATCCATGATAAATAAGAATAAAGTTAAAATCGGCAATAAAATCAATTTGAACACAGAATTAGAATCGCAACATGTTGATTTGCTCTTCACTGACTTGAATTCCAAGCTACATCTACTTTCCATATACAGGAGGGGGATTTGCAAAACATCAAATTTGCCGCAGGAAGGCTTTTTTAAGCACAGTGCCAGTTGAAAGTATGAGATAGTATTAATGTCTTTCTCTGTAATACCTACATTTTCATTTCTTTCTTCGCATGTTCTGAGAAATCTAAATTCATCCTTTTCTTCTCCTACAACTGCGGTTAGATGGCTTGACATGATGCTCATGCAGTCAAAGTTCCCATAGTGTTTAGCAAACACTTTCTTTTTCAGGCAGGTTCACTACAGCTCTGGTTGTTTTAAATGTCATGGATGATTGCTTAATAGTTCTTAAACAACCACATGGACTTTAAAAAATGAAATATAATTGAAACCATGCACACAGTTGTATTTTGTTCATAAGAATTTCTACGGCCACCAATAACTGTGATATTGCATATTTAAATGTACAGTACCCCTTTTTCTGACATTTAGTGCATCTTTGGACATTATTTATGTACAATATTTACAATGTAGATCCAGTGTGAAATTTCATTATCTGTGGGTGTATTTTTACTATTTTTTATTTCTAAATAACAAACATTTCTTGCCAACATAACAACACATTTAACCCACATTACTATACCACGAACTAAAACATGTACAGAAGCCTTTGGCAGGTGCAGATTTGTTTTTCTCACTCTTATAACTGCATACCTTACATAACAGTTTAATGACCCCTGAGTAATTCATGCTATGTACTGGATACACCCTATAATTAATGGCTTTAAGTATAAGCTTAGACGTCAAGAGGTTAAAAAGAAATCAAACCATTCTTAACCCACATTTTACACATTTTAAACTGCATTTTAAGAAGAATTCAAAATGAGAGCTTAACAGTTCACAATGAAACATAACATCTTATGAACTGTCCTCAAACCTTTAAGAAGTTGTTTTTACAGAAAGTGAAACTATTTTATGCAGACACAGCAGGTTCATCTCGACTTATACCTGCATTCTTTGTACGTTCTGTTCATCACGGCAAAATTAAGAGCAACCATTTGTGTTCAGTTCAGTTATGTTCAGTTATGTTCACTTAGAAGTGCGAATGTTTAGAAGTTTTGAGGTATGATTTAAATGCCAAAAGATCATGGATAATTGAGGCTTCTTTTGTTGGATGAAAAAAAAAAAAACATTTTCTTTTGTACCAAGTTCAAAAAAAGTTCCATTGACTCCACACACCCTGTCTTGACCTGAGAGCTTTTTATTTTATTCTTTTATTTTGAAATACTAGGGTATGAAAGGGTGCAAATACGAACCATTCTCCTTTGAAAGTGAATGTAGTACACTTTTTGAAACATAATTTAAGGTATACAACTGGACTTAAGGTCATTGTTTTACCTTTCAGGGTACATTTACATTGTCTGTAACTTGGACAAAAATGTACAGTAACCCTGTACAGTACCCTTTTTTTCTGACAGAGTATGATATTTGTTTAGTGCATCTTTGAACATTACTTACATACAATTTTTACAACTTAAATCCAGCATTAAATTTCATCATCTGTTGTAAATATAGTGGCACACTCTCAGAAATAAAGGTAGCAAACTGTCACTGAGGCAGTACCCCTCCTGTCACTGGGGTGGTACCCTCAAGGGTACATCTCACTACCTTTAGTCAGGGAACATAACTGTACCACAATCCATTGAAATTATATTTATTTAAGTTGTATTGACTCCACACACCCCGTCTCTTCTCCAGGCTTTTATTTTATTGTTCTGTTTTAAAACATTTGGTTATGAAAAGAGACAAATATGTACTTTTCGCCTGGGAAAAATCATTTAAAGTTCACAATCAGACCTTAAAACCACTGTTGTACCTTTGAGGGAACATTTACATTGTTTGTACTTTGATGAACGAAAAATGTACCTGCACAGAACCTTTAATTCTAACAGTGTACGATACAATTTTACAGTTTTTTTTTCTAAATAACAAACAAAAACAAATAAAATAAGACATTCAGCCCATGTTTGTCCACAACAAACTAAAACATGTACAAAGTATTTTAATCCTTTGAACTCTTTTTTAAAAAAACCCTAACAGAACCCTTTGGCAGGTGCATTTGTGTTTCTCTCTATCGTAACTGCACACCTTATATAATAGTTTCATGACTATGAATAGTTCATGCTATGTACTGACACATGCCCTACAATTAATAACTTGACGTACAAGCTTAGACTTTAAGACGATAAGAAGAAATGAAACCATTCTTAATCTACATTTTACATATTTTAAAGCACATTTTAAGAAGAACTTAAAATGAGGGCTTAAAATTCACAGATAACATCTTTTAAACTCTCCCTGAAACCTTTAGAAGTTGTTTTTTTTAAAGAATGTGAAACTATTTTATGCAGCAGGTTCATCTCGACTAATAACTGCATTCTTTGGACGTGCTGTTCAGCCAGTTATGTTTAGTACTCAATACTAACACTTTGCTGCTGTTTCAAGCCCTAGAAGCGCAGATGTTTGGAAGCTTTGACAGGCGATTAAATGTCAAATGATGACGGATAAACGAGGCTTCTGAATGTATCAGTGCACCACTGAAATCTGGAGCTTCAACTTGTGATTGATTTCCAAAGGGCCTACCCATGAACTGCTTAAAAGTAATTCACTCACCAATTTTAAGGTTTTTGAGAGGAGACATAGCAACAAGTAATATTCATAAGCAACCATCAGTTCCTGTGAACACATTTTTTCTAAAGGGGAGAAGGTTGTATCTACATTTTTCCAGCATTTTATTTTTGCCATGGAGGTCCACTTACAGACAACGCCAGGTTTATTGGCACCCTTCAAGAAAATTAGCTAAGATCACTAAATTAAATGAACCAGAAGTGCAATGTGTAATATTTTAGGCTTAAACAAATGGGTACTTTGTGTACTTAAGTCATCTTCAGTGGACTGCCCTCTTTAAAATATACCACATTTTTAATTGGGTTCAAATCTGGAGACTGAGAGGGCCATTGCAAAACTTAGATTTTGTTTTCCCACAACCATTTCTGTTTGGATTTTGATGTGTGTTTGGGGTCATTAGCTTGTTGAACGGTCCACCCATGGCAGAATATATATATATATATATTGCACATGTTGATGTTTAATAATCTACTCCCTAAGATTTTACACACACACACACACACACACACACACACATAGCGTAGCAGTGTTGGGCAGATCCGTTTTACCTGCTAACTTATCTGCTAGCTAGCTAAGTATCCTTTCCAATCAGTGGCACAAAACAAACGACAAATGATATTCACTTACCTCCAATTTTCAGCACTCTACAGTTTCTCTCCAGGCAGTTTCTGTTAAAATCCCCAGAATATTTGGGGATCCTGCCATACATCCCCATGTTCCATTTCGTGTGATTAAGTTTTTGCAATCAGCTGTAATACACCAGTAATGCCATGTGCCACTCTGCTACAGACCTCATCTTTTCTGGATTTTCCTCGGCCATCTGCCTGTTCTTTCCTCTGACACAGTCCGGCCAAATTAAATTCCCATCCCTACCTTCCATTTCTTGTGACGGTTATTGTGTTCTCACAATAACCACCACTTTATCTTCTCCCTGCAGATGCAGGCTTTTGTGCAGATACAGCACAAATTATAGGCAGTGAAAAGTTTTATATTGACGTCTATTTATAGTTAGTGTTTATAAAGGGTATTAATAATAGAGTAATACAGAATAAAGAATTGAATTAATACAATATTGGAAATTATTTCCTTTTATTTTCCACAATGCTGCCCACACATATACTACAAGGGAATAATTTTACCATACCAGCTTTGCGAAAAACAGGTTTGGGTGGTTGAACACATTTAAACTTGGCGACCGGCAAAGTGTTTCAGTGTGAAGAGGAGAACATGCAAGAGTGCTCTCCTGTCTGAGGTACGTGATCTTCACTAGCTTTTGCAGTTTGTAAAATTTTATTATGGTGATGTCAACAACATAGCAAATGGTACATGATCTAAAGTAAGATTCATGATTTTTCTATTACAGGTCCGAATATTTTACATTTAGGTGACGTACGGACATCTATGTGACAATGGAGCGTTCAGTTCAAATGCCTATGGTGTCTCTGCAGACGGTGGCAATAATATTAATGATAAGTACGTTCTTTAAATGCCTTTATCCATAATTGACTCAGTCAACTGGAAAGATTAAAATAGGCTGCTGAATATGTGTTCATATATGCTCTTTTGATACTTCATAGGTGAATTTACAAAAGCACAAACAGGTAATCACACTGTTTAAATGTCATTGGACTTTACCGAGTTAATCATGTTTTATACAGTGTATTCATCTTTTACTTGTTCTGTTGCATTGTTCATTCATTTAAAAGCTATGCTAGGTTTTGTTTTGAAGATGTGTTTCATTCATTTTCAAATACTTTACAGTTTGTATATAATTATCATATTGCTTTAATCCTCTATTGCATGATTTTTTTCTTTTTCCTCACTTTAGACTAACTTTATACATATTTAACAACAATGACAGGGTTAGCAATAAAGGAAAGAGTTTCAATAAATCAATAAAAAGCATTTACTTGGTCATACTGTCTCTTAGTGGACACTTTTAAACCTCTTTTTTAACATTCAGTATCATTTTTTTTTTTGTTTTGTTTTGAGCATTTGCAGAAGTATGTTTGTTGCCTAGAAGCAACAGTGGAATGGATTTAGCCAGTCACAAAGGCAGATCTAACCACTTCAGGGAACACAGTTCTATATCATGTCTTCCCATTGCCACACATTGTTGCCTCAGGGCCCAAACATACCCCAAAAGGACCCCTGCTCACATCATTATTATTTAAAAAAAAAAGTTTAGCTGTTTGCGAGCTAGTCCAAAGTCAAAAAAGACCTTGGAGCTAAGACACTACCAGAAACAGGAGTCAATACTGCTACTACAAAACAGTTTTGTGAAAGAACACGACATGTTTTGCTCTTAATGTTGTTGTCACAGAAAGCTCAACCAGTTTGACAGCTGCAGATACTGGCACATCAGGTATTTCATAGTTGTCGTCGTTGTTGTTGCTTCTGAACTGAGATCTACTTTGCTTTAACCTCTGATACACACAGTCCCCTCTGCATTATCTAAAACTGATCTATATTAGTAGATATGCGTTCACAATACAAAGCTTCAGTGTAAAATCCATTCCTGGAAAATCAAATTCACATTCTCAAGGAAACAATCACTATATTAACAGAAATGTTTGCTGCTTCTTATTAGTTTTGCTTTTGACTTTGCGTGTAAATAGTCTGCCTCTCTATTATACTAAATATATATAATATAAATTATATATATTTAGTATAGTATAGTATATATAAATACACTAAATTTCGTCAACAACAGTACATGTATGTGGGTTTCCAACAGGAGAAGTCAGTATAAAACCCATTAATTGCAAAACAAGATAAGAAAAATAATTAAATGTGCTACCAGTCAGTATATTTACAGGAGCTTTGGGCTGAAGAGTGTTGAGAGGAAAGTCAGAGGTGTATATGAAACATATACTGATGCTGCTGCTGCACATGACACAAACTATTTAATCATAGCTGTTGCTTCACCTGCTTTTCCCCTTTTCTGTGGTTTTAGTAATTTATACTAACAGTAAAACCTTATTCTCTGTTCATATTGCTCTTGTGTTATTGGTGTCGACCAGAGGAGGATGGGTTTTTCTTTTGAGTCTTGGTTCCTTTCAAGGTTTCTTCCTTTTGCTCTTATGTAGTCTTTTCTTGCCACACTCTTTTCTTGGCACTGGCGACGCTCACTGGGGCTTGGACCCAAATTTTTCTGTAAAGCTGCTTTGTGACAATGTCTGTTGTAAACAGTGCTATGTAAATAAACTTTGACTTGACTAATGGAATGGCTCCTTTTCCTACTGTCATTGTTGATGCAAAATGTATTATTATATTTTTCACCACAGAAAGCCCAACCGATTCCACAGCTACAAACATCGGCACAAATGGTATTGAATGGTTCTCTTTTTTGTGCTTATGATTGGCTTTGTAATTGTCTACGATCTTGCCTGGTTTGATATTTGATTTACACAGTCCCCTTCTGCATTATGCTAATCCAAAACTGATCCACAGTAGTACATATTTATTTACAATACAAAGCTTCAGTATAAACCACTTTAATTGCAAAATAAGTTTTCATTTTAAGATAAACCATCACTATATTTACAGAGCGTTTGGAGATATGTTGAGAGGAAATGCACAGAGTTAGTTTCATGAACAGAACAGCTTTTTTTTTTGCTTTTGTTATTAATGCAAAATGTATTATTATAGTTATCATGACGCAAAGCCCAACCAGTTCCACCACTGCAGACATCGGCACAACAGGTATGTAAATAATTTTGCTTCTGAATGTTTTGCTGATTGCATAAGAGTCTGTGTTCACCTCTGATATACTTTACTCCACCACGTCAATGTGATCTAAGACAAATTTCTAACAGCAGATGTAAATATGTTTACTATATGAAATAGCAATAAAAACCCATGAACTGCAAAACAAATTCTAATTCTAAACAAAAAAAGGGTAAGGAATGTTGAAATGAAAATGAGGGGGGCATCTAGATCAGACTTTGTGTTTATGCTGTTGTTATTACAAAATTTATTATCACAGCCATCAGCACCAAAGGTTCAAACAGTTCCACAGCAACAGACACCGGAATAACAGGTACGTTATAGTTATTCTTTTTGTGCAAAATAAATTCCTATTGTAAACAGCAGCAAACCAATGTTTTCTGTATTTTATGAGAAGTCTTTGCAGATCTAAGATCACATGATTGGAACATAAACTGTGACATACCGGGGGTTATATAGGTCCTAGTTTATTTAGAGCCTTAAAAAATAGTAAAAGAACTTTAATATCTATCCTAAAAGATACAGGTAGCCAGTGTAGTTCTCTCGAAATGGGAGTGATATGAGTTCTCTCTATTGTTTTTGTTAGAATCTGTGCTGCTGCATTTTGTACACTGTACACTGAAGCTTGAACACGTTTCTCTGTATTATTCTCGGATAGAAAAGGCTGAACTTTAGCAATATATCTCAAATGATATAAAGCTACTTTAGTGACTGCATTTACATGTCAGATAAAACAGAGCTTTAAGATTACATTTAGGTTTCATGGTTCGGAATACAAAGCAAAAGAGCCTAGTTTATCACAAAGCAGCTTTCTCTGAATTTTAGTACCAAGGAAAGGCAAATGCCCTAAAGCTGAACCTTGTGGGACTCCGCAAGAATCCTAAATATCTAAGCTGTTTATCTTTCTGGGTCTGGGGGGGTCGGTGTGCTGGGGCCAATCCCAGTGCTCACTGGGTGGAAGGAAGGAAACACCCTGGACGGGTCGCCAGTTCATCACAGGGCAGACACACAGACATACACATTCACACACATGCACTCAGACCTAGGGGTAATTTAGTGTCTCCAATTGGCCTGGCTGCATTTCTTTGGACTGTGGAAGGAAACCCATGCAGACATGTGGAGAACATGCAAACTCCATACAGAGAGGACCCTGGTCACCCGGCTGGGGACTCGAACTCAGGCCTTTCTTGCTGTGAGGCAGCAGCTCAGATTTCGTGCATCAGCTCTATGACGTTTCACAACATGGGCCAATGGTGTCTTAAGTACTACGATTACAATGAAAATTTCCAAAATAATTTGTTTGATACTAGACATGTATTTAATTGATTCAAAACAACTTTTACTAAAACTTTCCTTTTCTTTTTTGCATATTTTAGTCTTTTCATTTATGTTATTCTTAAAACGCTATAATTTCAACTCTGACCAGAAGCGTGCAGTGCAGTACAGAAAAACTTAACTGATACACCAGGAAACAGCAGGATAGTTGAAAACTTTACAATTTAAGTTAGAAACCTGCAGTGGCAAAAAATGAGCAAAGCATGAATAATCACAAATTTAGTATTTTTTTTTTTGTGTTAGAAATCATTTTGTATTAGAAATCAAATATTATATTAGAAATCATTTATATTCTATCAAATAGTCTTGGTCCAATGGAAGCCTTGCTCAGGGAAACACAACAAAGAAACCCATTGGATTTGACTCCAATATGCAATTGAAAATAGTCTGAGATGATCAGTAATACAGGTGAAACAACACCCACAATTTATTAGATAACTAGTATATTTAGCTATTTAAGTTTTAACTTTTTTTTAGATTTTTTTATCTGTTTTCATCTTCACCTTAATGAAATAATTCAAGTGTGAAAATTCAGTGTAGCATCAGCTCAGAAGACATGGAAAGCCATAATAAACGTCTTTTGAATAGGTTTTATTTATTTATTGCTTGTCTCTGTCTATTAATTAGTTACTCAGTAACATGTTTAACAGTAATACAAGTGAATCAACACCCTAAATGTATAAGTTAACTAGTATATTTAACTATTTGAACATTAGCTGTGGTAGCTAGCTGATTAGAATATCTGAATATCTATATGTTATAATATGTTTTCTGAGATTAAAAAATAGAGTATTTCTACACAAAACATACATTAACTTGTATTCTGTAACCACATAAACAATTAGTCAGTGTTACAGGACATATTTTCATAAATGAACAGAGTTCTGTCTGTTTAAATTGACACACAACTTTTTTCATCATTCCATGGAATGCTAAAGAATTAAATATTTATACTGAAAAAATGTATAAAAAAATACCAGTTTCACAGGAAATTTACAGGGGGTTATTTCGATCCCTTGTATGAAGACTTGTGGTACTGATAAATATAGTTCTGATAAATAAATATAAACCAAATATGCCAAAAAAGAAAAATGTGTGAGGCTCAAAAACATGACTTTTTAAAGAATATGTGGACTATCAAGGATTTGTTGTATTGATAAAATATTTTTAGGAATCAGGTCAGTTTCCCCCCTTTTATGCATTCTAAGGTTAATATGCTCTTCCCTCAGTTAAGCATTTAAAGTCATGCATTTCTTTGGCTTTTTTGTCTTTAACAGCTGCACTTACTACTCCAATCCCTGGTTATGACCCATGCAGTAACTATACAGTCCTGGATCAGCCCTGGAGAGCTACTAATGCATCATGGGATAACATTTGCGATCAAGTCTTTCAGTGGAACGGCTGGTATCGTCTTCTCTATTATGGGATGAACATACGCATGCCAGAGCACTGTAGTAGTGGATGTTCCACTAATATTGCTCTCTGGCTAAATGGCTCACATCCCCAGATACAGGATGGAATAGTCACCCGTCAGATCTGTGGTAATGATGGAGGAAGCTGCTGCAATAGTTACTACAGAAACTCTATTCGAGTCAAAGCGTGCCCAGGAAATTTTTCTGTCTATGAATTCATTGGATTCCCTTATTGGTGGTGTTCAGCCTACTGTGCAGGTTTTATTTTACAACATTTTTGTTTGAAACATTGCCATTTTATTATCTTGCTTGAAATTCTTGTAATATTAAAAAAATCTGTTTTTGCAGATATTACCACACTAACTCCAAGCAACCTCTCAGCAACCGGAGTCAATATAAGTATGTAACTGTAATGATTTTTTAAAATAAATATACTTAAATATATACTTGATTTTAGAAATTGTGTATGTGCACATATTTGCTATGTGGCCATACTGGTCTGCGTACCATCATTTAGGGGGCAGGTCAGGGCCAAAACATCCCCCAAACATTTTATTTTGCCTACTGCTGACACCACACCAGCTCTCTGTGGTATAGGCATCCATTATTTATGTTGGTAATGCATCTCGCCAACATGTCACGTTAATTTCTGAAGATGCCTCAAGCAAGTACACAATACATAGGCCAGACTTTTCTCAGGAATTTTGGCCCAAATATCTATCTAAAAGCTCTTGCTCTTTGCCACATATCTTTCTTGGGTTCTATTTCACAGCAACAGACTCCAGCTTTGACCCATGCTATAACTATACTGCCCTGGACAACTACTGGAGAAATGCACGCACATCCTACAATGGACACGATGACACCATTGTAGAATGGAAGGGCTGGTATCGACTGTATCTTCAAGGACAAAGTGCTCAAATGTCTGAGTGGTGTGGGTTTTCCACTACATGTGGTGGTTATACTCCTCTGCTGCTCGGAGGTTCACATCCGCAGATTTCTGATGGAATTGTCACTCGTGAAGTCATTGGGTCTCGTTACTCAACATGCAATTACTACAAATCCAACCCAGTTCAAGTCAAGGCTTGTCCAGGAAATTATTATGTCTATAAACTTGTTAAGCCAGATGTGTCGATTCCTGTTCCTTCATACTGTGCAGGTACAGCAAAACTCCTCTTTACTAGCTTATTTTTATTGTTATTGTATTCTATTATGATTCATTTTGGTTAAAATGTTCTAGTATAAAGTTCTTTGGATTTTGATTTGTATATTGTGTGATTTATTCCTTTGCTAACAGGGGAAAGAGAGAGCTAAGCACCAGACATCAAAATATGCTCAAAACTAAATTCAGTTTTAATTGTGTAAAACATATAAATGACAGTAGAAAAATCCAAATAACTCTTGTTTCAATTACAGTTTCTTTTAGCAACTCCAGTGTAGACCCCTGCTACAGCTATACTACCCTGAATGATCCTTGGAGAAGCAGCACTGACTCCACCACAACTTTACACTGTGATGTATATGTGAACTGGGTGGGCTGGTATCGGCTTTTCTATGAAGGACAAAGTACCAAGATGCCAGAAACCTGTGTCAGTCCATACAGGTGTGGCACCAACACCCCACTGTGGCTCAATGGCTCTCACCCACGCGTAGAAGATGGAGTGGTGGTCCGGCAAATCTGTGGAAGCAGTGGCAGTGATTGCTGCTTTTATAAACCCGTACCCATTCAAGTGAAAGCTTGCCCGGGAAACTACTACGTGTATGAGTTTGTTCCACCAAATTTCTGCAATGCAGCCTATTGTACAGGTAATATACTAATATACTTGTGTGAAAATGAATGTTTTAGATAAGTTTATGATTTAGAAATGTTAATGTTCTGTTTCTCAAAATGTTGCAATTTGTGCACTGTTACGTGCCCCTGTGATGTTACCTAGGGGTAATGGGGAAGTAACATGGAGTATGTAATGAGGGGTCGAAGGGAGAGATGTGGACAACGGGAGTACCACGTTTAGACAAAGCTTTACTGTACAATAGTAAAAGAGTACACATACACCTTTAAAGTGAAGTAGTGAAATGGAACAAAGACATGAGACAGCTGACAATAAGACATCCGACTAGACAAAATCAACAACCAGCTAACAGTACTAATCTATGAAGCTCAATATGATCGATGAGGTAAATTGACTTTCAGTACTGACAAGGCTGAGAGTAATAATATTGTATGCGAAGCTAGCTGCAATGGTGGACTATGGGCGGTGCCAAAGCAACAAATATTATTAAAAAGACCTTTAACCTGCCTAACAGGAGCTAACGTGCACAAAATACAGCGGGTGGCACTCAGCCCTTACAAAGTGTGTCACTACCATGTGTGTCAGATGTACAGGCGCGCCCAAACTGCCTGTCCACTCATCGCGCTAGAAAGAGAGATACAGAGTGAGAGAGAGAGAGAAAGAGAGAGGAAGAGACATAGTGAGGCCAAGGCAGAACTAAAACTAACGGGCTACAATTTTAAAAACAGCATAAGTCAAACTACCAGCAAACTAACGGCCTCACAGACACACAATGCTCTCTTCCCCTCATGTTGCCGGGTCAGCCTTTTATCTTCGAACGCCCGCCCCCATTCACTCAGCGGCGATTTTGATTGGAGGATGAGGTAATAGTAGTAGACATCTTATTGGAGGGCCGAACGCGCCACCCACGCAGCCACTGGTTGGGTTGCATCTGTTAAGTAAGGTAGACAGACAGACAGAGGAAAAAAAGAATAAAAAAAGGACAAACAAGAAATATGCGTGCCGTCCTGGCACGTAACATGCACACCTAGATTTTCATGTGCAATCATCAAATTATCTGCTTACTTTAAATATATGCTATGACCAAAATCATGTGGAGACTTAAAATGGAAGCATCTAAGAGTAACAACAGCTCGGTCACAAAGCATTAGACCATGCACCTCACTACAGAGCTCCAAACGGCTTCTGGAAGCAACATCGGCACAAGAACTGTGCGTCAGAAGCTTCAGGAAATGGGTTTCCATGGCAGAGCAGATACACAAGCCTAACATCACTAGGCTTTAGAGTGATGAATTACGCTTCACTATTTGGCTTTCTGATGCAAACATCTGGGTTTGGTGGATACCAGGAGACGCTACCTACCAGGATGCATAGTGCCAACAGTAAAGTTTGGTGGAGGAGGGATAATGGGCTGGGGCTGTTTGTCAGGGTTTGGGCCCCTAAGCTTCAGTGAAGGGTAATGTTAATGTTACAGCATAAAAAGACATTGTACACAATTATATGCTTCCAAATTTGTAGCAACAGTTTGGGGAAGGCCCTTTCCTCTTCCAGCATGACTGTGCCCTGTGCACAAAGTGAACTCCATAAAGACATGGTTTGACACGTCAAGACAGGACTCATTAAACTCCTGTGGGAAGAGCTGGAACACTGATTGCAAGTCAGGCCTTTTTGTCCAACATGAGTGTCTGAAAAGAGTCTGACCTCTTTTGACTGACTGGGCACAAATTCCCACAGACACACTCCAAAATCTTGTGGCAAGCCTTCCCAGAACAGTGGAGGCTGTTATAGCTGCAAAGGGGCGGCCAACTCTATTATAATTCCCGAAGATTTGGAAAGAGATGTTCAACAGGCTCATACAGCTGTGATGGTCAGGTGTCTGTATACTATTGGCCATATAGTGTATAATGAATACACTTTCCCAATTCTTTCAATTCATTCCCAATTCATCTATTTTGAAATAAAATAATTTTTTTGTTATTATTTCTCTTGGCCCATAAAATAATCGTTGGCCACAAATGTTAAAGGATAATTTATAAAATAACCCCCCCTCTGGTTCTATTTTTGGGCCAACACAGGCACAGCTTAGTGAACTTATGTCAATGTATTTATAAGCTGGTTAAGTGTTTTTGGGTTATTCTTCACCTGCTATTTCTGTGAAAGAAATCACTTGCATTTGTTGACAAAGTGTGTGGAATTCAAAATTGGATTCTCCCATTTGAGTTTGGCCCACACCAGCTCCAGCTCCACCCTAGCACCACCCAGTCTTTATTACACACCTACGGCTAGATTAGCTCATACAATCACTCACTAGTTACTTGTTTAGGAACAACAAAAGGCACTCAATTGCAGTTAGAATAGCCTGAATTATTTGTGGCATGTATTCAACAAGGTAATACCTGCTCTGTGGTGGTCCTGTGGGGGGTCCTGACCTGAACAGGGTAAAAGAGAGCTAAAATTAACCAGAAAAGCAGATGGACTACAGTCTGTAATTGTAGAACTACAAAGTGCAACTGTATGTCTTCCAGACAATCTGTTCAGGTATGTGGATTAGAGGCCATGGTAGCTACTGTGTTTGCAGTCAGTATGTTTGTGTGTGTGTAACTGGGTAAGTTAGCACTGTAGTCCATCTGTTTCTCTGCATACTTTGTTAGCCCCCTGTTTACCCTGCTCTTCAGCCACCATTTGCTCCTCTGTTGATGCTGCCATGTTCTCGAATCCTCGCCGGCATACAATGAACCTTGGGATATGTTGGCTGATGAAGGATGCACCCGTTGGATCCTTCATTGCCACGGAAAAGAAAGACACATTTCTCGGCCGCATATGAAGGAGGCTTCGAAATGGGACAGTCTAGTCGCGCCGCTGTGATGCAATCGCCCTTCAAATGCAGCCTCTGAAGGACACAGCCCCTGAATTGAGACACACGGTGCCAGTGGCTGCTCCAGCTCACCACTGAACTCCACTTCTCATGGCTGAACATTCTGCTGTTGGATTGGCTGAGGTTGCTGATGAGCTCTCAGACACTGGTGCCTATACACCTGGTTCAGACAGAATTTCATAAGGCTACAGTTGGGATGAGACTGAATTATGGTGAACTAAAGCTGGGGCTCAGACAGAAATTTGATTATAGCTATATTGTCAACTCAATAAGAAACAAATCTCTAACAATGGATTTCTAGCCTTCTTATTTATCTTTAACTGTTGTATTTTAAAGGATTCACACTAAATAAAAGGTGACGTTCATAGTCAAATGTTCATCATAAAGCCAAAAAGCTTTAATATAGGAAGAATAATGACTTTTAACAGTTATCCACTTTCTTCCAGTTCCTTATAGATTGTTTCCCATTCTACCTGGTACTATTCAGCAGGCTGTTACTGTTGATGGAGGTTCTACACTGATCCAGCTTGACTATCCATTCTTCTACTTTGGAAAACCACACTCACAATTATATGTAAGTATAAAAACACAATACAGTGTTTAAAGATATATTCTGTTAAAGTGCCGTCCAGGATTATTTGCATCATAAATAAGGAAAATAATAAATAAACTGTGCCGGGTAGGATCCAGGTTAGATGTTTGCATATCAAATCTACAGCATAACTTCTTAAGTCTATAGGTTATCTATTGAATAAGTGTATATTGGTAGAGACACAATTTTCCTTTCTTTTCTAGTCCACTCTGGCTGCTTTAAAGATGTTTATTATCCCAGTCCCTGTAGGCTGCTTCTTTGGCTTGACAAAGCATCACTAACCACAGAGTTTCTAAGATGACTAGCAGAATTGTAATGTAGCCATGATCATTTTTTGTTCCTTGAATTTAGAGTTAAGTTTAGCATTAGCATGCAATCTGCTGCCTGTATTTATTCTGAATTCGGAATCCAGCCCCAGGGGTCAGTTGCACTGACTGGTGACCTGTCATAAAGTTGGTCATAACTTTCTGGGTTTAACTTTGGAACTGTGGCTCCAACTGCTTGTAATCAGATTCAAATTCTAGTTGCTTAGTTCATCACAATTGCCTGAGTTGATATGTCCTTCATTCAACCTGTATTTCCAATTTTCCTTTCTTTTTATTTTCTTAACAACAATTTCTATTTTGGTGGTTCTTAATCTGAGATCACAGGATTGTTGTCGAAAATAAGTACACATGCTTATATTTTTATGTTTGGTAAAGCTACTCAGAACTGCTGCAGAAAAAAAAAACTCTAAAATAACAGTCAGTTGCACGGTGGCTGCTTAGTAACACAGTTTGCTCAGCAATTTTGGTTACACGTATTTCCACATAAACACCGCTAAGAACAATCTTATTTGCTTCCAGGAATAACTTTATGTGATGCAAAGGACATAAAGTCCTTTCTGAAAAATAAGGTCTAAAAATGATTTTACTTTGATCTTTGACTTAGCAATTAAGATTGTTCTAGTGAAGACCTGCTAGTGCAACCAGCTCTATTTTGTGCCCTATACAGTTGGAAGCCTGGTAACTGCAGAACAGTGGTTCACTTGCCATGTGTCCAATGTCACACTGAATCCACAAAACTGCACCTTTGACTAGGACTGTGGTTGGCAATCCAAATGTTAAGAAGAGCCACTTTGTCCTTTCAACAAAAATCAAACCACCTTGGGAGTCACAACATTTTACCATCATGGCTGTGAATATGTCCCAGTATGTGCTAATGTACTAGTATATGCTAAAAATATAATATAAATGAAAATCCAGACTTACTTTACTCTGCTTTAAGCTTTATCTGTAGCTGCTTTTCTCACATCTCCGGCAGGATACTTTTCCAGAAAAGTAGAATACTTTCTTGTCTCTCAACATTCGACTTTTTATTAGGCTGAAGACAGTTTCACATTTTCCAGCTTCTTGTTCAATGTTTCCCGTTCCACCTTAAATGGTGCCTGAAGCACCAGAATGTAACTGATGCACTATTTAAGGTGGAATGGAAAAATTCAAATGAGAAGCTGGCAGATTACTTTTTAGTGTTTGAGATTAAACGTATCACAAAACCAGCTGGAGTGCTTATGAATGCAAATTCCATTTTTCAAACGGAAAGTTCATTTGTCTCCAAATTGTTCATCTTTAATTTTTCTCTTTACCCTTTCTATAACTACTAGCTAGGCGAGATTGTTGTCTGCATTGCGGTGACCCATAGTCTGTGCACCAATCTTCATGGTTAAAGGTTGGCAAATGAGCAAATGTATTACATTTATTAAAAAAGTCAAATTTTGGCTTGTAAAATAGGTGGAAAATGAGGTGGAGCCACAACAGGACTGTAAAAGAGTGGCATGCTGCTAACCCCTGGACTAGGATGACCAAAACATCAGTTACTGATACAAAAGAAGGAAATAGATCAGATGATACTATGTGACTAACACTGAGGAGTGTGGCTCTTAAGCAGGTGATGTTGTTTGAATTGGAAACCTACAACAGACAAACAAAAACTAATAAACTGTGGCCTCTATCCCTATTGTCTTCATTCAAAGAGCATCTCGACAATTTCTAAACACCTTAACTGCACATTGTTTAGTGTAACTATAAAATTCAGAACTGTTTTCTGTCCCTTTTTCAGCTCAGTATGAATGGTTTCCTGTCTTTTGAACCCCTCTACCCTGTCGGCTATGACCCGTCTCTGAACAAAGACATCATCGCTCCACTGTGGACTAAAATCCACATTTACACCAGAGGAAATATCTCCTACAGCCAAGCCACAAGTGGCCCTCTTTTAAAACTAGCTAGTAATGAAATTACCGAAATATTACCTGGCATTAAATTCTCTGTTTCCTGGGTCTTTGTCAGCACGTGGGAGAAGGTGGAATTTGAACCTGATGTAGGGGTAGGTGTTTTTCCTTATAATTAATTCATTGTTTCCAAGCAAATCAAATTTTAACACTGTTCTCCTCTTGAAGGAGGTGACTTTCCAAGTACTCTTGATCTCTGACAGTGAAAACCGCTCTTACGTCATGATGAACTATGGATCCATCCCCCCTTCTCCACAAGCTTGGATGGTAAGAGGATCAAGAGGACCATGTTCATGAACTTCCTTTAAATTTTGTTATGCTTTATAACTTTCCAAGATTATGTTATCATATACCCAGTATTCTGTATGTTTTTGTTATTCTTTTTAGGCTGGATATAAAACAGAGAACAATACCCATAATTTCACCATTGAGGCACCCAGTACCTCTAGTCTGTCTTCTACTACTAATGTTGGAATACCTGGTCACTGGGCATTTCGTGTTGATGGTGAAGTGTCAGGTGAATTTATAGTTACTTTGTTTTTGGGTTGATGTGCAGCTTTACAGCAACAATATAGACATGTATATCAAATTTCAAGTACAATGATAGAGTGCAAATAATGGAACAATGTGTTTGCATCTCACGTCAGACATGCAGAATGTAGTTCTGCTACAAGAATGCAGTTAAGGAATGCCCTAGCCAATCAGGGCTCAGAGATCGGCCGTCACAAACAAGTTCTGCAGCAGATATTAGCCCAGCTGCAGGGCCTGGCAAGGGCCCTTGCTGAAGCCCAATTAGCAGAAGCTTCAGTTCCACCCGCTGTCTGCCCAGGGTCGTGAAACACCTCAATCTGTTTTATTAAATCCTAGAGCAGAACCTCCCTAACCTTTCCTAGAAAGATATAACAGGGATTCCAGGCATTGTAGGAGGTTTCTCCCCGAATATAGGTAGCGCTGTAGGGAACGTGAGTCCATGCCCCTGTGGGTTACTCAGTTGACCAGCCCATGCAATTGGGTTGCAACCGTCCTTCTTGTCAGGAGTGCGACACTCGAATGAGAGAGGGCAGGTATCTTTACTGTGGGCAGTCTGGTCGTCTTTTTTCAGGTTGCCCAGAGCTTGCAGGAAAACCTGGGGTCCATTGCAGGGGAGCGGGCCTGTGACAGACCCAGAACCATCCTTCTAAAGCTGCTGGACTGTCACTTACATGCACCCTTTCATGTGGACAAAGTTTAAAAAAAAGAGGCCCCAAGTATTTGTTGACTTGGGCAGCTGGTAATTTTACTGATATTACTCTGGCTAAGACCCTAAATCTGCCCTTAGATAACCTAGAAGTTCCTGTATCAGATTTGTCCATTGAGGGCCACCATCTTGGGTCTGGGCAGGTAAATCAACAAACCTGGCCTGTCACCTTTCATATAAGTCAGCACACAGAGCAGATTTCCTTGCTAGTCATCTAGGCTCCAGAGTTACAGCTAGATTTAGATTCATATAGAACTTCGGTACTGTGGCCACCCCGTTGACTGACCTCGCTAACAAGGGAACATGATGTTTTCAGTGGACACAGAAGCCCAGAAAGCTTTTGAAGATCTCAAGCATCACTTGACTTCTGAAATTTCTTTATGCAATAGTGATGAATGGCAAAGTCAATGTGAGAGTTTCAGCTCTTTATGTTTGAGAAGTGCCATACAACACACTACTATAAACATGCATAGTACATTATGTTGCAGAGTAACTGTTTATTGAAACACAGTCCCTCTCGTGTTCCATTGCCTTAATACACACTCATAATGAAAATGCATTCCTAAGTCACATCTAGTTTTTAAATATGGCTGAAGCACAAAAAAGCCAGTTAACTGACGGTTTTGTCTATTTAGGAATGCCTTTTCAAATAAGAAAGTTGATAAATTCACTACAAAATGCTGTTTTTGTATTAACCAAGGAGTGTGTGTACCCTGTGCATAATGTGTATTTTACTGTTGAATAGAGCTATGCAGATGGGCGGGGGCTGATTTTATTAAGCAAATGTTATAAGCAATTGATATAAGAACTGAGGTGCCTGGAAGACACACACAAGTATTTAAAAGAGCTCAAATATGAAATAAGATGAATTTACCTTAGTTAGAAATTATAATAAAATTAGAATGATGGTGATGTGCTTAGGTCACATACTGACTTACCATGTACTCCTTGATAAGTAATCCATCATCATCATTCAGGTGCGGACAGAGAGCTTTTATGATGGCTTCTCTTTTAAGGTGGACATCCTTCACCTGCACATATTGATTGCACTTGTTTGAATGTACCTTCAACTGTTTAAAAAAAATGGACAAGCATACAAGGAACAGATAAAAGAAACATATGAACATCAAAATCCGATCATCTTAGAGACTGAAAAATGATTACTAGTTTGAGCAATAAAACAAATAAATAAAAAGTAGCTTTACAAAACAAATAGCCTCATAGTTAAATACAAATATCAAATCTGGATGATAAAAATGCACTTACCAGAGACTTTGAACATGCCACAGAATCCTTTAAAACATGGCACTCAACAACCTTGTTAAGCCTTAACCTATAAACAAAGAGGGCATTTAAATAAAATTAAATGAAAGACCATGTTAACATTTTATCTTAAACATAAGCTTTAGTTTAATGTTTTATCTCACCATGTGGAAGGACATAACAGTGCATTATTTTGGCTGAAATTTAATACATACATACATACATCATCTAAACCGCTTATCCTACTGGGTCGCAGTGGGGTGCTGGAGCCTATCCCAGCTGTCATTGGGCGGAAGGCAGGATACACCCTGGACAGGTCGCCAGTCCATTGCAGGGCTGAAATTCTTACAATAATATATATTACCCATATTATATATTACAATATATATTTTATATTTAGCTATTTGTTTTAATCCTTTGAGCATTATTTTAGTTTTAAACCAACTATGATATTTAAGTCACATCATGGTTATTTTAATCAATATAGCTATCAGGATTCCTCGTCTAGGGGTTGTGCATTATTGAGCATCAAAACCAATGTATAATAATTACTTCTACCACTTGGCACTTGAAGTCCATAATGTTTACCATAAATGCAGTTTGACTAAACATAAGGTAAACCCCATCTTGGTAACAATGAAAGGGGAGTTAACTACATGAGCAAAATACATTTGTGAGTGCATGTGCACCATCTTATATACAAAATTATATTCTGATTATAGTTATAATTACAGTTAGCATTAGCTTGATAGCTAGTTAACAAGATAACGGATTCTATAATGGCATATACTAAATCTCCACTGACAATTCTGATAGAGCAAAGTCGAGCGATGGGTGTTGAAGGAACAGAAAGCTGAAATTAATCTTAAACCTGCTTCGTGGTGCTTGTAGCCTACTAGCTAAGTTAGCCAGCCAGCTGCTAACACTAACGTTTGCTTAGCTATCTAACGCTAGCTAGCTGCGCTAACGGTATCAGAGTCCATGTTGGAACACCATATTGCAAACTGGGTTCATCGAACAGAGCATTAGCGTTAGGTGTTCAATGGACAAACGATGAAATTAAACCAGGTAACTGATGTCTGTAACCTACTAGCTGTTCACGCTATGTTTTCTAAGCTAATGCTAGCTACAATAGCGTTAGCAGGCTCCATATCCAAACCCCAGGCTCGGTGGAGCTAGCTAACTAAGGCTGAAATTAAACGGGTTTATGGACACCTGGTACCCAAATATCATATCCAAAATCACAGGCGAAGCGAGCACAGCCTCCTCAGTGGGAAAAGATTATTACAGGTCATGTCAAGGACACACAACCAGGTCTGTTTACTTCAGATATGCGTTGAATTGAGCCCCTCACAAACTTACGCTATGCTAGTCGTCCATTAACTGTACATTTTCATCAAAGTTATATCCAACGCTGCGTTGTGTTTGTGCATCTATAACCATTTAAACAATATTTTAACGTGTACTTGACACAGCAAGGAAAACGTACTCGTCTGCAGTGAACTTTAGAAAATGGCGCCGTTACTTAGCTAGCTAGCTAGCAGGCTAGGTCCACAGTTAAGTTAGCTAACGGTTGTGTTCATGAGCAAACTTAGTGAGGACCTCAAGTGACCTCAACATAGACAGATACTTATGAAGGGCACATTAAATTAAACACTGACCTTTACAATTAAAACACTGTGGTCAGCTTTAGTAAGTTTAGTGATTATCTGACTGAGTAACGTTTGTGTACTTTGAATATGCGTTGGTTTAAACTAACCTGGCTAGCTAGCTAAGCTAGCGAATTTTAAGCCATGCTAAGTTGTCCCGTAACCTTGCGTTTGGCAATTATATTTTTCTGCGTAAATGTCATGAACATGTTATATGTCCATAATGACAAACAATAGACAATACACAATATCCTACCTTGTGAATGTAAGATGAGAGAATTTCCTCAGGTAATCCAAATCTTCCCAGAGAGGAGGTGTAGAAAATGGATGCCGTCAGCTCAGGAAAAGTTGTGCACGTTTCTACCCCTTGACACAACATAATTATTTCTAATTCACTTTAAGCATGTTTCATATGTTTAGCTTACTGGTTTTCAACATTGCTTATTATTATTTAGTTGAAGCAAAAACACATTCAAATTGAGAAAACATGCACAATTTTGTATTATGTAAAATTTACTAAGGGCCAAGTTCATTTTTTTCAGTGAATTTATTTACCAACTTTCACTGATGAGTCTGTATGCAGAGAGTCGTCATCTTCATTTTGTCCTTTTCTCTCATTTAACACAGTTCTAATTATAAAACAAACATTCTAATGACTTATTTCTGTCATTTTTACAGCCTTATTTTAATAAAGATTTATTTTTATTCTTAAAAGGAGTTAATTTAATTTATTTTACTTTACATATTTACGCACTGTGTTACTGTTATTACCAGAGACAGAAAAAGAATGGATGTCATAATTATAATTTCTTTTTTCTGTTTTCTAATATCTTTCTTGCAGCTCCATCTACGTTTTTCTTTCCCATGCTACCTGGTGCTATTCAACATGCTGTTACTACTGATGGAGGTTCTACACTGATCCAGCTTGACTATCCATTCTTCTACTTTGGAAAACCACATTCACAATTATATGTAAGTAGAAGAGCAGAACAGAATGGTTAAAGAATCATTCTGACACATTGCATCATAGGATGTTAGGCACCCTATTCTGTGGAATGCGGAACAGGGTGGAAGTTGTTCTGAAGAGTTGTTGAATTTGAGTTAGTGTAAAATATCGATTTTGTTCCTCAAATCTGAAATGCTGCATTGTTTCATTCAAAGTACACTAAATGGCCAAAAGTATGTGAATACCTGGCTGTTACACCTGCGTGAGCTTGTTGGACATCCTGTTCCAAAACCATCACCATGAAGTTGGTCCCCCTTCTGCAACTGTAACAGACTCCACTCTTCTGGGAAGCTTCCCACATGATTTTGGAATGTATCTGTGGGAATTTGTGCCCATACAGTCAAATCAGCTTTTATCAGACACTGATGTTGGATGAGAAGGCGTGGTTCATAATCAGTGTTTCAGCTGATTCCAAAGGTGTTCGGTGGGGTTGAGGTCAAGGCCACTGGTGTTCCTCCACACCAAACCCATCAAACCATGTGCTCACTTTGTGCAAAGGTCATACTGGAAATGGTTCTTCCCTAGACTGCTGCCACAATGTTGGAAGAATATAATTGTCTACAATGTCTTTGTATGCCATAACATTAATATCACCTTTCACTGGAACTAAGGGGCCCAAACCCTGAAAAACAGCCTATTATCCCTCCTCCAAAAACTTTACTGTTAGCACTATGCATTCCAGTAGGTAGTGTTCTCCTGGCATCCACCAAACCCAGATTCATCCATTAGACTGCAGGACAGTAAAGCATGTATGTTTAAAGTCATCATCACCACAGAGACCACAATTTATTGCTCCACAGAACACGTTAGTGATCTTAGGCTTGTGTGCAACTGCTCTTGTGCTGTTATTTCTTCTAGAGGCAGTGATGCAACAGAGGATCACCCATTTTTATGTGCTACACACTTCACCACTCGGCTGCTTTGCTCTGTGAGTTTGTGTGTTCTACTAAGGTGTTGTTGCTCCTAAATGCTTCCATTTCAAAATAATAGCACTTTCAGTTGACTGGGGCAGATCTCGAAGGGTAGAAATGTCATGAACTGGTTTGTGACAAAGGTAGAATTCAAGAATTAAAAGTCCCTGAGCTCTTCATTATGACCCATCCCATTACCAATGTTTGTCTATGGAGCTTGCCAGGCTATGTGCTTGATATTATAGAGCTGAAACACCTAAACTAAACCTAAACCTATTAATTAGGAGTGTTGTCCACATACTTTTGGCCATATGGTGTATTTGTATTAAATTGCTTGCTGAAGTAATATTTTTAGGTTGCACTGACAAAAAGATTTGACATTGTCTCAGACTCTCCTCTTCAATTATCCTCCTCATTTCAGTTTGTTTCAGAGGGTGTAGGTCAGGGGACATTGGGTGATGGTCATTGCAGAAGTTAATCATTTTAATGTGAATTTGAAGGAATGCTTCAGATTTTGTCCTGATGATGCAACAATGGTCAAGCTTTACAAGACAGACTTTGCTCTGAAATGTTTTGAGACCCGACAGGTTTATCTTCTGGGATTATTACTTCTATGTATCTATGTATCTTAACAAGGTTCCCAGAGCCAAACATGTTCTCAGCATCACACTTTCACCACCATATTAAACAGTGTGCAAGATTCTGTTCTGCATGTGTGTAAAATAAACAAGTATCTTCTTCCAGAAAGGCTCATAATAGGCATAATTCATGCAAAAGACACCCCTGGTAAAATTACATTTTGTTAATTTTCTAAGTCACATTTCGGTGCATAATTACTGTTTATTTGCTCAATTATCTGTTATATTTGCCAACATGTATATATTTATATATATGCCACGCCATTTAGAAATATATTTAAATATATATATAATGACTGAAAACCCTGGATATATATTGAAAGTCTGAATATATGGAATGAAACCTTAGAATATGGAATAAAATCTGACATCATCAAGGCACCAGCGTCATCTTGTGTTTTGGATGTGTGAGATTCCATACAGAAACCATATTAAATACTGTTACCGGTACTATTTTGGCCTGTACATTTGCCAGGGTGTTAATTATTACTATTACTATTACTGCTACTAGATTTCGTGCTGACTCAGTCACTGCCTGCATCCGTACAGGATAATATCACACATCGAAAAAACAAGATGGCGTAAGCATTTCGATGACGTCACATTTAATTCCATATTCTCAGGTTTTATTCCATATATTCAAAGTTTCATTCCATATATACAGACTTTCATTCCATATATTCAAAGTTTCATTCCATATAATCAAAGATTTTTTGTCATTATATATATATATATATATATATATATATATATATATCATGCTCTGAAATCTGCAGAAATATACTAGATTTAAGCTTGTTCCCTGTAGATGATGTGTAGGCTTATTTTCACTTTGCTAACAAAATTAGCAAAATATGCACATGACTATAACTGTTGCCCTGATAGTGCAGAGGTACACTCTCAGAAATAAAGGTACGAAACTGAGGGGCAGTACCCCTCTTGTCACTGGGGTGGTACGCTCAAGGGTACATCTCAGGACCTTTAGTCATCTCGTCTCCAGGATTTTTTTTTTATTGATCTGTTTTAAAACATTAGGTTATGAAAAGGTACAAATATGTACTTTTCACCTGGGAAAACTCATGGTACACAATTGGACCTTAACCACTTTTGTACATTTACATTGTTTGTTACATTGTTTGGGAACATTTACATTGTTTGTAGCTTGATGAACGAAAATTGTACCTGCACAGAACCTTTATTTCTAATGGGGTATTTCGAGGTGTACAGTTTCCTAATTTCTAAAGTTTAATCAACATTTAATCAGTAAATTGATCATTTTATTAAGGTTTTCTCTGACATGACTTTGATTTACTGTTTGTATTTGTAGTTTGGTTCCCTTCGTCCGAAACAAAACCAAAAATGATATTATGTTATGTGTTAGTTCTGTCTTGCTTAGTGTTCAGACATATGTGATATACAAAAATGTAAAGAAAATGGGTAAAAATTACATATGGGTACAATATGGGTAAGAATTACAACTCATTGGGCAGATTTTATGATGTACATTTGAAGACAATAGCTGTGATCCATCAAACATTCATAATCATGTTGTTATCTGGTCTAAGTGAGTGTTGCACCTTAATACATGTATATTAAGTAATTTACAGTGGCATCAAAAATGCTTCAGACTTGTTTTAAATCCAAAACTGTCCATTCCAGTACTCCCAAACTCATGAAGAGATAATACATCTTCCACTTGTCAAAACAGCATCAGAAGTTTGTCTCTTGTATGTACAAAAGAAGGAAAGAAACAAGATAGATCTGTGTGATATATTTGGTCCATATGGCACTTAGGCTACGTTTACACAGCAGGTAAAAGTGGCCCAAATCTGATTTTTTCACCAAATCCGATGTTTTTGTTTGGTTGTTCACATTATCTTTTAAATGTGACCTGTATGCGACATCAGTCTGAACAGATCTCGCTCCGAAACCGACCTGCATGCGCAAAAGAACAATGCTCCACGAGGCGGAGGTAAACAGTCATGACGGGCAGCGAACGCCTGGCGCTCCCTGAGCTTCAGTTTCGTCTTCGCCAGCATCACAGGAGCGATTATGAAGTTCCAGTGGTTGACAGCTGGACTCATTACCCAGATTGTGTTCGTGTTCACCGTAAAAAAGGCACGTTATTCAGTCACGAGCACTTCTTTGGTTCGTGTCCTCAGATTCTTTAAACGCTGCAGCCTCGGGCTCCTGCGGCAGTGCTCGGCCGTTTCGTTCGAAACCTATTTGAGCACGGAGCGGTTGCGATGAGTCTCTTCTATTTTTTAGTGCATAAACATCAGACTAAATGTTTATGAGTCTCAGCAGCGCGAAATTATGACGAATGTCGAGTTGGACTGACGTAAAAGTCGCATGAATTCCGATCTGGCTGTTCAGACTGAGTCGCATTGCCGCAGATCGGATACGTATCGGATTTCAGTACCACATATGAAAGCGTCTCAAATCGGAATTGAAAATGTCAGATTCAATGCGTTTTTTGCTGTTCACACTGCCACACAGACACACATCTGTGTCACATTTGAGGAAAAAGATCGGATTTGGGCCACTTTTACCTGCTGTGTAAACGTAGCCAAAGTCTGAACAGGCAGATCGTAATTCATGCGACTTTTACGTCAATCCAACTCGACGTTCATCATAATTCCGCGCTGCTGAGACTCATAAATATAGTCTGATGTTTCTGTACCAAAACATTAGAAGAGACTCAGAGCAGCCGCTCCGTGTTCAAACAAAACGGCCTAGCGCGGCCGGAGGAGCCCGAGGCTGCAGCGTCAGACAACAGTTTAAAGAATCCGAGGACACGAACCAAAGAAGTGGCCGTGGCCGAATAACGCGCCCTTTTTTCGGCGAACTCGAACACATTCTGGGTGACAAGTCCAGCTGTCAGTCATTGGAACTTCATACTCGCTCCTGTGATGCTGGCGAAGACGAAACTGAAAGCTCCGGGAGCGACAGGCGTTCGCTGCCCGTCATGATCGTTTACCCTTGGATGAGCCGCCATGTGAAGCATTGTTCTTTTGCGCATGCCAGTCGGTTTAGGAGCTGATATGTTCAGACTGATGTCGCATACAGGTCACATTTAAAAGATAATGTGAACAGCCAAACAAAAAATCGGATTTGGTGAGAAAATCAGATTTGGGTCACTTTTACCTGCTGTGTAAACACAGCCTTAGACTTCAAATGAGCCTCACCAGAGATCATTTGGAAGCAGACTGAGATGCAGTGTTCTCACTTGCACACTAACAGAGCAATCACACCAGTGTTTGTTTAAATCATAAGAGACCTGCTGAGTCTAAACATTGTTTTAGGCCTCAGGTAGCTTAGAAAGAAAGACGACTGCTTAGAGTTTCATAAAGACTGAAGAACGTCAAAAAAGTAAAACCAAGATTTCACTTCAATCTGATTAGGATTTCACATAGTTAAGAGTTACTTCATTATTCAGACTACTTTTTAATTACTGAACTCTCTGCTAAATAGCAATGGCTCACTTTAATTTTAAAGAAATTCATAACAGAGCATCTCAGAAAGATGTGGGGTATTAATTTGCGAGTTACTGAATGAGTCTTCAGTGTAACTTTATTATTCTGAATTCTTTTGTGATTATTTCTTTTTCAGCTCAGTATGGATGGTTTCCTGTCTTTTGAGTACCTCTACCTTGAGGGCTATGACTCAACTCTGAACAAAGACATCATCGCTCCACTGTGGACTGACGTTGACTCTTACACCAGAGGAAACATCTCTTATGAGCAAGCCACAAATGGGTCTTTGATTGAACTAGCTACAAATGAAATGAACAGGATGTTCTCTGGGTTGAACTTTTCTGTTTCCTGGGTTTTTGTCGCCACTTGGGAGAAGATGGAATTTGAACCTGATACAGGGGTAAGAGTCTGTCCTTATAACTCAGTCACCGACTCCAAGCTAAATACATTTTTAATACTTTTATCCTCCTGAAGGAGGTGACTTTCCAAGTCGTCGTAATCTCTGATAGCAACAACCGCTCTTATGTCCTGATGAACTATGGATCCATCCCTCCTGATCCACTATCATGGATGGTAAGAAGAGCATGTTCATTCATGTTTTTAGTAATTTCATAATGCTTTATGATATTAAAACAAAAAGTAGGCAAATAAATAGCACTCATAATGTATCATTCTATTTGAATATTTTTCAGGCTGGATATAAGACTGTGGGCAACACATATTCTTTCAGCATTCAGGCACCCAGTACCTCTAGTCTGTCTTCTACTACTAATGTTGGAATACCTGGTCGCTGGGCTTTCCGTGTTGACAGTGCAGTTTCAGGTGAATTTACTGTCATTTTGTCTTCGGGGTGATGTGCAGCTTCTCAAAACAATTTCCAAGCAATATGATACACTGATAATACTAGAGTCTGACTGATACATGTGTTAGCTGGCATTTTGGCCATTATCATAGATCTGCAATTTTTATGGCATCAACAATATTACCAGTGATGCACAATTAATTAGCAACTTTTTCCAATGCAGCGTCGTTGGATTTTTAACTTCTAATGTTCTGATGATGGAGCAATGCTCTGCTGTATCACTGGGAAGCCTAATACATAATAACGTATATCACATCAATTACATAGTGCACTGCTGAATCTGTACACAAAAAAATTAACCTTTACCATTGGTCAAACTCTTGACGTTTCAGAAGGGGCTTAAGGAGCATGCCAAGCCTCCCCTACCCCCTGTTAAAAGGACATTTGTTGCTGTTGGTGTTGTTATTTGTTAGTTTACGATTTGTCTATGTGTTGACAGTGTTTTGTGTTGGACTGCGAGTTAGTTAGTGTGGGTTTAGTGTCTACCATGACATGACATTGTATGGCTATCATGCCCTTCCCCACTATTCTTGCTGCTATTCAGTTACACTGGACTGGGCGTTTCCTGCTGCCTGTTGAACTGCCTGTGCAACAAAAGAGCATGTGCCATGTGTGCACAATGTTTTCCACATCATCTTCTCCTGGCGGAACTTCACAATAACTTAGCAGCATTGACCAGCTGCAGTTCTGGCATGGAGTGGTGGCACGGTCAGTCAGGAAGCTACTCCCAGACAGACAGAGGCCAGAGGAAGAGCAGATAAGCATGGTGGCAGCACAGTTGAGCATGATGGTTCAGCAGGCATACCTGGTATCAAGAAGGCTGTGCAGGAGAGCCTGGCTTCCTAAACGCACTGCTGCCAGAGGAGCTGAGACGGCACCAGCCAGCCTTCAATCTGCCTTCACAGAAGCAGAGAGGGCAGAACTCATCCTCGACATGGAAGCTTCAAAGTGAGCAACACAACACTACACAATGAAGGAGCTTGAGGAGCCAATCAGCCACCACTGCACTGCTCACTGGGCTGTAAGTGTTGCTGTTACATTCAGGCATGCCCCCTTCCACAGAGAGCAGCACACTTCTCAGCTGGGAGGCAGCAACAGCTAGACAGGGGGAGGAGGTGGTCATGATGGAGGGCCTGAGCCGAGTGAACGGGTTCAGGCTCACACCTATACAGGGTGTGTGCATTCTTGGGTTGGACTTTGTCATGGTGACTTGGGCTGTGCTCAACCTGTGTTGACCAGAGCAACAGACATTCTCAATCCCTGGATGCGGTGAGACATCAGAGACTTTGTTTGGACTGGGAGGGCCACTGGAACAGCTGACCCTTGGGGGTGGGGGGAATGGGGCTATTTCGTAAGGAGATTTTGGGGAGTGGGATGCAAAACTGTGCTGTGTGCCACCTTTCATTAAAAAGACATTTGTTACAGTTGTTTTTATTAATGTTGCTTGTTTAAGATGTGTCTATGTAGCGACTTTGTTTTATCTTAGGCTGGAAATTAATTAGTGTGGGTTTAGTGTCTACCACAAAGTAACATTGTATGGCTATTGGTGACCTTCCCTGCTATTCTCAAAATCAGTACCACTGGGCTGGGCATTTCTTGGTGCCTGTTGAACTGCCTGTTCAATTTGCCCATGTATGCAGTGTTTTCTGCATTTTCTTTTATGCTAATGCCACAATTACTAATGAAAAAACAATTATGGAAAGCATCCATGAAAATTGCACATCCTCATATTTATCATAAGTAGCAATTGACATTCATTGACATACATTCAGAACAACATGAATTGTACTAGATTTATTATTTGTAAATGTTTATGTTAAAGATTATTCAATAATGCATAGCATCTTCAATTCTCTCACAGTGTCACCACCACCAGCACTGTTCTATCCATTTGGCTCAGGAGTCGGAGATACTTTTAATACCCTTAGTGATGATGGAAGCTCACCTGCTATAAACTTACAGAGTCCATTCTCTTTCTTCACATGCACATACACTAAGCTATATGTGAGTGGCTATAATCATTATTAAAGCTGAACCATGAATAAAAATGTCTTTTTTTAAACTATCGATTCTTTAATTGTCTTTTTTTTTTCACTTGCAGGTCAACAACAATGGACACTTGACGTTTGATCAGCCGTGGGACAGCTATACACCCACTCAGTTCAATGCTTATAGTGGAAGAGATATCATCGCTCCATTCTGGACTGATATTGATCATCGTGGAGCTGGCACTATCTCATATAATCAGTACACTAGTGGCAGTGTCCTTTCACAGGCCACACGGGACATAAACCAGTACTTTCCACAGTTTATCTTCACCGCCTCTTGGGTCTTTGTTGCAACATGGGATAAAGTGGCGTACTACAGCTACTCAGGCACAGTAAGATATCAAATTTTAAGAGAAATTGCTTGGAATTAACAGGCACGTCTGTTTTTGAAAATGTTAAGTGCGCTTATAATTCCATATCCTAATTAAAGCACTTGTATAACAGATTTGTACACCTTATAAGGAAACGTCTTGTATATGTCAAGTGTCATCACTAACTGTTGTTAGTGGGATGCCACCAACTTCGTAATAGGAGAAAATGTAGAATAAAATTCATTATACAAAATTGTCAATAAATGTCAAAACAACCATCTGCCAACAATTAGTAAGTGTTAAACAGTGCTGGTAATCCTGAGACAGAAGCTGGTTAGCATTAACTTAGCTAGCATAATAACAGCTATGCTCACCACAAACCATGTTTGATTCTGGCTTAAAAGCACTGACACAAGTTTAGATGATTTCTCAAATCTGAGGGAGCAGCTGGTGTTGGAGGGACAGAAAGGTGAGACTAAACCTATTTTTTGGTGTTTGATTCTGTAGCATACTAGCTAACTTTACATTAGCTTAGAGAGCAGCCTACAGATCCATTCTGTGCCACACACCACAGCACAGGTTCAATTCCAAATAACTTAGCTAACAATTGCTTAGTTGGCAGGCCAAAAGTGCCACATATGACAGTACCAACTCTATAGCACAGAACAGATGTTCACATTACACTTGTTTAGAGAATTAAGACTCATATCTGAGAGCATAGAGAGTGTAGCTGTTCGCTGTCACTGAGCCACTGTCCTGCCTAGTTTTCCTTAAGCATTTTCAAGTCCTGATTTAGCAGCACATCAGAAAAAGACAACCGGCAAAATGTGGCTGTGATAACCATTTGTCTTGCAGTGGAGGACAATAGTCAGCATCTGTGAAGTAATTAGAAGGAATCTCTAGCACTGCAGACGCAGTTTCTTTCCCACCAGTCCCTCTTCCCCTTAAATCTGAATGGGTGAAATGTGTTTATCTGGCTGTTTACAAGACAGACACAGACCAGATGGTTGACAGTTATAATTTCTTTTATCATTTTATATACTGTCATCATTTTTAAATACCATGCCATACCTTATTATCGTTGCTTTGTCCAATCCTAAAGAGCAGCCGTAATATTAAAACCATCTCCTTGTTTCTAAATGTAACATATACACTTACCATATATGTGCACTTTGTACTTCTACTATTATAGACTGTACTCCATCTGTTTCTTTGCATAAATTGTCAGACCCCTTTTTACCCTGTTCTTCAATTTAAGGACCCCCACAGGACTGCCACAGAGCAGGTATTATTTGGGTAGTGCACCATTCTCAGCACTGTAGTGACACTGACGTGGTGGTGACATGGTAGCATGTGCTCTGCTGGTACAACTGTTTCACGCATAGAAGCGCTGATGCAGAGGTGGGAGAAATACCCTTACTTAAGAAAAAGTCCCTTACTGAAGTAAAAGTACTAGTAATATAGTAAAAATACTAAAAGTAAAGTATGACTCAGATTTTATCTGAAGTAGAAGTATAAAAGTACATGATTATAAATGTACTTCAGATAAAAAAAGAAAGTATTTCTTTAAAAATCATTTCTAACTCAATTTTTTAAATAGTATTTTTTTTTACTGAGGGCTAAAGTAACACATCCATGAAATTGAATGCACATAATGGTTTACACACACCAACACACATGCAAATGTCCTAAATATTATTACATCAGGCTACAGTCCATTCCTAACAGCAGTGCAGTCATCACTCTACATATTCCAACACTTAAACCATGATGCAAAACAAAATCAATTAATCAGAAATCTGGGTTCACATAAACACAACCAACACTGCAGCACCTTCACTATTCACCTGCTCACCACAGACACAACTTCCACCCTAAGAAGACGACAAAACTAAGTTAAAATCAGACAGCTGAGATGTACAAAATTGAACCTACAAAGATAAAGATGTACAAATTTAAAACTTAATAATTATCAAAGCCAAAATCACAGGTTACTGCCACAGCGGGCAAACTCAAATGAAGACAACATGAACGTTAAATCAAATAGCTGATGTGCAAAGACAAGGAAATACAAAACTGCCACCTTTACTAACCTAAACCAAATCATCAGAAGCAAAAGCATATTGCCACCACAGGCATGACACCTGTTTATGATCTATTTATTTCTTACCTGTAATGACTCAATGCACTGAAGTAATGTTAGATGTTTGCTTTGACATTTTCACAAAGTCCATTCCAGATTTTATAGTAGAAGAGTTTAACTACCAAGGTACCAAAGTACCACTTTAAGTACCAAATTCACAAAAATAAAAGTTTTTACATTTGTTTTTACACTTAAATGGACAGATGTACGTTTAAACATCCCCAGTTACATGATTTAAATGCAACTAGATATTTAAATTTAAAAACTGGTGCACTGATAATAAACTGAAGGTATGAAGCAACTTGGTAGAGCTGCTTATTGTGTCAGCCAAATTGGATGATATTGTGCCCAGATTCACACAGTCATGCTAATCTTGCAAGGCTGAAGTTAGCTTCATTTTCAAATTTGTATTCCACCTTAAAAAGTCCTGCAGTTGTAGGCTACCCTTTGTATGGGTGTCTGAACCTATCTGCTCATCATTTAAGGTGGAACAGGAAATGAAGAACAGGAAACTTCAGCTTTATCTTTCCACCATACAAATCTCAGTTACAGTTAGCAAGCTGAGGCTGCATCACTTGAGACAGGTGACGCTGGTTTGACCCCTAAATTACTACAGATATACACTTTCATGTAACATTCGTAGTTTGACCGTTCTTGTGCTGTGAGTTTATTCAATAGCTTGCGGTACCCGGCCCAAAACACTACTGGGCCCACAAAGAATTCTCCGGACTCTCTAAATCACTTGCAGCTTTGAATAAGGCTACGTTCACATTAGAACCCTTGTTGCTCAAATCAGATTTTTTGCTCAAATCCGATCTCTCTGACATGATGGTTCACACTGTTTAGGTAAGTGATTTAAATCCGTGAACGAACCGGCGTCCTGAAATGACCCATATGCGCACATCCTACTCAGTAACGTCAAGTGAATGAATCATGTGCATCATCAGCAAACAAACTAACGTGCAGAACGAGCTTCGCTGTGAAGATAATTAACTCTGATCAGCTCTCAGCTGTTCATTATTAGAGCGAAATGAAGGCAAAAAGGTGAGATGTGTTGCTTTTACACTGTTTACAGGCTTTAACGTCTGTTCGGACGTTCAGGTCTGAGTCAGTTTAGGGCAAAAAATCTGATTTGTGCCTCTTCAACCTGGTAATGTGAATGTAGCCTAGGTCTGTGGATGCAGGTTTTCTCAGATGCAATGTCCGTATTAAGCACTGACTCGACACTGTCACTTTCTTTGGATTCCATTGCCTCATCTGTTCATTTTTTTCCTTTTCCCACATGCTCACTGCTGGGGCCTGTAAACTGTGAAAGCAGCCAATCACAGGTTCACTCCTCTACCCACTGCCCAACCCCCCATTCTCCCACCCCCCCGTTGCACATCCAGCTGGATTCCGATTTGCACTTCATTAAGTCCCTGAATGTATTTGCCTGATTAAAAAATACATAAATAAGTTGAACAGTGTAACACGCTGTGTTATTCATCCTCTAGCTCTTCATCAATGGTCAGTTTCTGACCACTGATTCACTCTTGGTTAGATTTTTTTTTTTTTGAGTGCTGAACTACTTGGTATTGGGCATGGTGACTTTAGGCTGATCTGTGGCTAAATTGCAAATCTATTGCCAATGCTTTTCTATGGAGATTATACCAGTTGTGTATGAGCAACTGAATACCTGTGTCAGCAATGAGTGCACCTTAAAAAGCTGAATTCGTTCATTAGTGGTGGTGTCTACATACTTTTGGAAGCATAGTCTATGTTGTAACAGGAAAGTGATGAATCAGCATCTATTACTGCAGCGATTAGCTTATTACCTGCCAATTTCCGTTGGCTATTTTTGAATGATGAAATGTTCTCAAACGCATTCTGTGTGCATTCTGCTATTTTTTTGTGTGACACAAGTGCTGTCCCATAAAAAAGTAAGCCTACATCCCTTTGTTAATTTCAGTGGAAGTCCATATTTTGTAACCTCCCCACAGTTAACTACAGTGATCAGGCCTGAGTGTATATAGATAATAAGTGTTTTTTGATGAAATAGCTAAGAATAATAGAATACTGTACTGTTTGGTGTCTGGAAGTGTACTGAATAAAACAAGGAAAGCATATTACAATTGGATTCTGGTACATTTTAAAACATTTCCTTTACTTTGTCTTTCAGGAAACATCATTTCAGGTGGTTCTGATTACTGGTGACGGTTTTTCTTTCATGCTGATAAATTATGGTGACATTGCACCAACAAACTACAGGGTGGAGGTAAAATCTAACCTCTATACATCATCTAAACATCATCTATATAACACAGAACTTTATTCTTTATTCCTGATTCTAAACATTTTCTCTGTTTAGGCTGGATATGACACAAACTTCACAGACTACTTTGTAATTCTCTGGTCAAACGACAAATCCACCATTCCGAACCTCAAGTATTTGAGTAATGTGAATGTCCCAGGACGCTGGGCCTTCGTGCTAAACCAACCCAGTAACATAAATGGTAATGATATTTTGCTGTAATGAGTGTTCCTCATACTAAACCTTTATTCTGAAATGACTCTGTACTGTGTTTCACTGTCATTGTGCATCTTCCTACAGATGGCGTTCTTGCAGCTCGACTGAAAGTCCTGACAGGCTCTAATCTAACAGACACCAATAACCAGAAGATCTTTGTACAGCACGTAAGCTAATACAGTTTCCTGACTGAACTTTGCAGTAAACATTCAAAGTCCTAGTCCTCATTTATAAAAATATTTGTGAAAACTCTTTTGTTTTTCAGCTTCAGGATGAACTGAGGAGGAGAGGCGTTACATCCACTATAAAAGTGAAACGTGCTCAAAAGAAAAGTCCATGATTAGAAGATCCAGAAGAATCTCTGTTTCACTGTGGGATATATTATCAAATTACATTTAGCTGATTAATGATATGGTGGTGGTGTTTTGGTATGTAACACCTGTAACCTTTAATAGTAATGAATTTGCTGAAGATTGCCAAACTTAAATTCATTAAATATAAACCGTGGTTTTGTCTAGGCAGAAATGGTGCAGGGTTATAGAATTTTAGCCTGGGGGTTGTGATCCTTTTAGTCATTTTCAACAAAGTGTTTTTTTTTCAGTCTTTAGAAACTTATTGGCTTCTGTGGTTGCTAAACAAAACTGCTCACCAAAAACATTATATACAATAACTTCTCCACTTGTGGTAATGGTAGTGTATCATGAACAACATTGTTGCTGCGTTCACATGTTGGCTCTAAAAAAAACGTCGCTCTGTGGTTTATAGCACTGTGGTTATTGTACACAACTGGTTACTCCTACAACAACCTACAACATTACCCTGGTACAACACTGTTGCTGTGTTCACATGTTGGCTCGGAAAATAGAGTCGTTTCCATTTCTATGTGACCGATAGCAGAAACATTGCCATTGTGACAGTATTATGGCCAAGGTGTGAAATACAGGGGGCACTGGAGGGGGGGGTCTGCTATCCCATAATTAGCCCTTTGGATGCCCTGAAAGCCACAAAATCAAATTTTTTGAAGGGTCCCTAAAACACTTAAGCAACACATTATAGTGTTATGGTATCCATCAACCCTGCTAAGTTTGCGAGAAAATGAACACCTTCATAAGAATTCAGAAAAAAGGTGTTTTATTTTAGTCTGCTTTACCTTCCACCAAAATGGCAAGGTTCTGCTCTTATTGTTCTTAACCTACCAGCGCAGCAGCAAAAATCAAGAGAACATTCTGTGCTCGTTTACTTTTTTTTGTTGCATAGTACTAGGTGATTCCGGACTTCAGCAGTGAGTGCAATTACATGAGCTTAATAACCTGATAACTGCTGAAAATCAGATGTTGTTAGTACGCCATTCATTGTGTTTACACGTTTCCCATTGCAGATATTGGGAAAACTCTGGGTCTACATGAGTCAGTTAATAATCGGATTTCTGCTTTGCAACCAGCCAACAGAAGACATAATGTAAATGTAACAAAAATCTGAATGTCCTGCTGCAGCCTTACATATTGTCATTTCACCATAAAACATGAATATGCATCACCTGAAGAAAATTTAAATAATTTTTGTCATGCACATAGTTTATTTTAGCAGTGCTCTGTTTTCACATGTGTGCAGACTCAAAAAAATGAAAGAGATCAGAGTGAGGGTTTCCATGCACTGAAAGACCCCATTCCTGAGCTGAAATCGAGGTCTCTTAATCGGATTTCTAGAAATCCGTCAATGGCCTTAATTCAATCTAAGAGATCAAAATATGCTGTCTACATGACTGCTTGAATAATCAGATGACTGCTGAAATCCGATAATGATCGGATTATTAAGTGCATGTAAAGACGCTCAAAGAGACCTTTGTAGTTCATGGCTCCCAAACCATCAACATCCGGTTTATTTCAAAATAAACGCAATGTTTATTCCAGTCAACGGCAACAATTTAACTCTTAACTCTTATTGCTGTGGTTATTTTCCATCGCAGCTCCATGGAAAACAATGGAATATCAGATTTGCCATTGCCCATCTACTGCCAAGATGTAAACGCAGCATAAGTCCTACTTAATTTGCTGACTTTCTTGCTGATAGTTGCAAGTTCTCTTGTGTTTGAAACTGTGTCCATGTGAAACAAGATACTTATTTGTTTAATTCATTATGCTGGGGGTGATCTTGGGATTTGACAGAGATTCTGTACTATTACTATAGAGTCTACTGATTACTACGAGTCTAAAGAGCAAATACATAATGTTTTATTAAGTTTGTCACTCTTTTCTTCAAGTGGTTAATTAGATTCTGTAGATCAATGCTTTCCAGTACTGTCCCTGGAGACTCCCTACTCTGCATATCTTACCCCCAACAAAAATGCAAAAATATCACATTCCCTAACACTTCATAAGGTTAAAGTGATGATTTTAGAGCAGGAAAACTCTAAATATGCAGGGCGGGAGAATTCTCTGAGCAGGACTGGGAAACATTATCGGAAACTTTGATTCCACATAGGCTTGTACTGGGTCTAAGAGGTGAATTTACACCAAGCAAGTGATTTTTGGCAGTGTATCACCTGCAGTGGTTTCCTTAAATTTCCCCATGTTTTTATTCCATCACCAGATGGTCATAATAGGGTAATGGATAAATGGATAAATAAAATTAACCAAAATAACTCACAGTCCACTGGATTCTGTTATTTCCTGCACCAACATGGCACAACACAGCATTCCTGCTGGATTATTTGTGCAAGGGCCCCCATGTGGGCTAACACTTCAGTTTCTCTCTGTGATAACTACCATACGTACAGATCAGTTTCATAGCAGCTGCTGAATAATTCATATAACACTATTTCCAAAAAAATGGAATGCTGTGCAAAATGCAATGATGTGAAATTCATTTAAACCCTATATTTAATTGAAAATAATGCAAAGTCAATGTTGAAACTGAGAAATTTATTGTTTATTGAAAAACAATAATATATTTTGAATTTGATGCCAGCAATATGTTTTGCAATATAAAATAGCAAAGATCTTAGGGATTTTATCATCAATGGTATATAATATCATTAAAAGTTTCAGAGGGCCACTTCTGGCAGGGATATGGCACTGCTGGCCCTTTGTTGGCACTGACAACCTGCATGTGAGCCAAAGGTGGCCCACATGACACAAAACAGATTCGATCCACTTTTGGCACAGATATAGCAGGGCTGTTTACTGGTAAATGGCATATGAGTCAAAGATGGCCCACATATGAAAAAATTCAAATGGCCCACATGTTCCAAAACAGGTCTGGTCTGTAAGCGTGAAAAAAGCCAATCACAGGTTCACTCCACTCCCCCCTTCTACAGTGCAGATTTACATTTCATTAGGAGCCTGAATACAATTGCTTGACTAAAAATACATAAATAGAGAGAGAAATTAAATAAAGAGATCATTAAAACTAAAGTAACAAGCTTGTTTTAAAAATGTAGTGAGTAAAATTAAAATGTATAAAGTGACAGAAATACTCAAGTGAAGTACAGATACCTAAAAAAAATACTTACGTACTCTGGTAACCTGTAATATCCTGACTACGGTCAAGATTTCAGTATATTCAGAAGTATAAATATAGTTATGTTTAATACCATCCTTTAGATTCTTCATCATAGTCGTTGAAGTTAAGATGCGGTTCCATGTAAAAGTTCTCTTTTTTTTCTGACAGAGCCAGTTGGGAACAACTACACTCGAAAAATGAAAATGGGACATGGTTAAGTTTAATTATTTGAACTGTGTTCATCTGACTATAAATATAAGAGCGTGTTGGTTTAAAACGTGTTCTTTACATAAAGCTGATGTAAGTCTAAGTCAAGTTCATGTCTGCTCATGTGCGCATGTGTGAATGGAAAGTGATGACATCACGAGGCTGGAGGCAAAGAGACTGTGGTCTTTCCCTTCTGTCCGGCAGTTAAACAGGTAACTGTAGTGTATCTTACAGTACAGTGTTCGTATTGTACATTTATTATTTCTTAGTAATGTAAATGTCTGTGGCAGAAATAGTGAGGTGAAGTTTTTCCTGGCTGTAAATATTTTACATTAATGTAAGGTCAGCCAGCTAAGTTAACACGGTATTTAAATGCTTTTTGTGTAGGTTTAGCTGCCTGGCGCGTAGCTCTCACTGTTGGCGCGTTCCCGCCTTAGGTAGTTAGCATATTAGTATGCGGTTAGCGCGTTAGCGCGTCAGCTAGCACGTTAATTTGCGGTTAGTTCTTCAGCTAGCGCATTAATTCGCGGTTAGTTCGTTAGCTAGCGCATTAATTCGCGGTTAGTTCTTCAGCTAGCGCGTTAGAGCGCGGTTAGTGTGTTAGCCCGTTAGCTAGCGCGTTAATTTGCGGTTAGTTCTTCAGCTAGCGCGTTAATTCGCGGTTAGTTCGTTAGCTAGCGCGTTAATTCGCGGTTAGTTCTTCAGCTAGCGCGTTAATTCGCGGTTAGTGTGTTAGCCCGTTAGCTAGCGCGTTAATTCGCGGTTAGTTCTTCAGCTAGCGCGTTAATTCGCGGTTAGTTCGTTAGCTAGCGCGTTAGATCGCGGTTAGTGTGTTAGCCCGTTAGCTAGCGCGTTAATTCGCGGTTAGTGTGTTAGCCCGTTAGCTAGCGCGTTAATTCGCGGTTAGTTCGTTAGCTAGCGCGTTAGATCGCGGTTAGTGTGTTAGCCCGTTAGCTAGCGCATTACTTCGTGGTTAGCATGTTAGCTCACAGTTGGCACGTTAGCTCGGGCTTAGCGCGGTACCTCAAAGTTAGACCACGCTGGAGAAAGTTAGCTCTTGTGTTGCAGATTGAAAATGTTTCATATTTGTCCAGCTGGTCAGCAATTCTTTTTTGCAAGATGTCATCAAGGCTGGGAAAAAAAGGTTATATTAATGATATCTTTGTACAATTTGTGTTTTTTTAAAATAAAACTTTTATTATTATCGTTCAGCTAACTAATTGACTTCACACCTTTGAGATGCTTCTTGTCTCACATCTGAGCTGTCTGCTTTTGCTGTCGGCCTGCTTAATAATGTAATAAATAAACTGGTCCATACTTTTAATCAATTATTTCTTCAATAAACTAAGGCAAGACTGAGACAGTTATTGAATATGTGTATAATTCAGATAATTCTAGGTTCAAACTGGAAAAAACACTGGCAACAAATTCAGGCAGTCACAGACTGATGCTTGCAACTGACAGTTCAGGTAATCAGCTACGAAGCCTTGGCCGCTGACGTATTTCCTGCTGTAATTATGAAGCGAGCAGCAATTTCAGAAGTGAGCAAAAAGTGAAATGTGAGCTGAAATCAGTGAAGCGAGCGCGTAGCTGTGATAAGTGAGCATACTAAACTCCTGGTGTGCTGTGCCTGAAGCCCGCAGTTCTTGTTTCTGTGCTCTTGGTGTCGCGTTTGCGCTCGGCTTTCTTGATTCTGTGCGCTTGTTTTTCTGACTTTCTCCAGGATTCCAATAAGAAGCAGCAGCTGTCCAGCACTGGTCAATACCTTGATGACAGCACAGATGTGTTACCTATCAGAAGAAAATAATAAGTTTTATTATTATTCTGGTGCAAGTTCTTTATTATATCAATTAAAATGATCTTTTAAATGGTCACATCTTGTCATTTAATGATTAAAAACACAGATTAATGTAATTGATTGGTATGAAGGTTCAAAGGCAAATGTATATACAAACCTAATTCTAAAACGTTTGGACATGTAAAATACTACTTTTTCAGGGACGTCCATGCTTATTTCAGCATGACAACTACAAGAAACATTTTGCTTGTGTTACAACAGCATGACTGCTTAATCAAATAGTGCAGGTGCTGGACTAGTGTAGCACATTATGAAGGGCAACACCTGTATTGTTGTAAAGACTTGTATAACCAGAAAACTACAAAAAATCTGCTTTTAAAACTGGATCAATTTGAGTTTTTAAACCCCAAATGATTATTAAATGCTATTAAAAGGAAAACTGATGTAACGTAGTGGTAAACTGCTCCTATCCCAACTTTCTGGAATTGCAGGCGTCATATTTTGAATCAACATATATTTACAAAAAAAAAAGTCAGTAAAGTTCTTGCAGCAAAACATCAAATGTTGTGTTTTTGTACCGTTTACAGTTGAATACATGTCCAACAGAACTTACTAATCACTGCTTTCTCTTTTAGTGGCAGTTTAGATACTCTCCCAAATTGTTTGGTAGTTGGTTTGTACTTGATGCTGCTAATTTTCTTGTTTTTGCTTTGTTACGGTTTTATATTATATGTTAATTTTATTTGGTCATAAGGGGCCAATCAACAGTGAACTTGCCAAGAATTTCATTCAGCCCAGTTATGTGGTTCGCTTTTGGCTGATGTGTGGCCCTAATCCGGTACGTACGTGTCCCACATCTAACAACTGCGAGTGTTTCGCACATGTGCCAACTATACATGTGTGTGTGGGCCAGAAAAAAATTGCTATCTGAAACCAGTCTGGTGTGAAACCACTAACTGGTATGTACGTGGCCCGCATCTAACAACCGGGAGTGGTCCACTCAAGTGCCATCAATCCATGTGGCAAGTGGGCCAGATAAAAATGGGCCAGATCTTGGCCAGAATAAATTTGCTATCTGGGGAGTGACTTGCACATCTGTAAAGCCACCATTAATACGGAACAATATATACAGCTTTTGGAGGAACGTTTGTTGCCATCCAGATGATGTTTTTATCAGGGAAGGCTTTGCTTATTTCAGCAAGATACCAAACCACATTCTATACGTATTGCAATAGCGTGGCTGTGTAGCAAAAGATTCTAGGTGCTAAACTGGCCTGCCTGCAGTCCAGACCTGTCACTCACTGAAAACATTTGGCGCATTTTGGAACAAAAAATACAGCAGAGGAGATACCAAATTGTTCAGGAGCTGAAATCCTGTATCAAACAAGAACGGGAAACATTTCACTTTTAAAACTACAGCAGCGTCTCCTCATTTCCAAAATGCTTACAGAATGTTGACAAAAGAAGAGGTGATGCCCCTGAACACACCCTGCCTCAACTTTTTAGAAATGTGCTACAGGCATCAGATTCAAAATGAGTTCAACATTTTGAAAGAAAATTCTCAGTTTCAACATTTAATATGTAGTTTTTGAACTATTTCCAAATAACTGTATGGTTTAAATGATTTGTACAATAGTACATTATGTTTTAATTTGCATTTTGCACAGCTTCCCAACTCGTTTAGAAACAGGGTTGTAGTTTCTGAATAACTACATGATTAAAAGCTGAATGATAAACTTGCACTTTGAGGTTAATCTCACTTCAAGGTGACCAACAAGTTTTTGTGTTTTAAAAACGCTTACACTGCAAAGACAAATGTCTTAAATGTAGGCACTGTATCAGTGCAGAGATGTCAAGTACCAAATGACATTTGCTCTTGTTACTATACTTGAGTAAATTTTTCCCTCTAACGTTATTTTTTTGGAATATAATTAAAGTACTTTTACTCTTTAAGAAATTTTTTAACTACTTTTATTTTGCTATTCAAATTTTTAATGAATGTTACAGAGTGTAAATAAATTCTAAGCATGTTAGCTCATAAACCAGTTAGTCAAAACGGAGCAAAAGAGCAGCTCCCAGTCTCAAAAACACTAGTTACAGCTGAGTTCAGGGACAGCAAGTTTAGAGGAGACAGAAAGAGGAGAACTTTATCATTACACATGAGGAACATACTTCATCCAGTCTTCTTCAAATTAACTAAAGAATATGGCATTAAATCATCAGCTGCCAAACAAGCCTCTTAAAACCTTTAAACTCAGCTTCAGCCTGAGCAGCTGCTTAGCTAGCTAATCCTAACTAAACAGGTCCTGTGTTTACTGTTTGCTTCTTAGTTTGTTGTTTTAGAATAAAACGATGGAGATGAGTTAAAATTGTTGTCATCCCATAGCCGACGGTTTACCCATGTAAAATATAGTTTTGTCACAGGGTTTGAGGTAAATGGCCGTATAAGGCTGTGACACAGGAAATCTAGCCTAATCAAAACTATAAATTGCTGTTGCTTGATTTTAATGGTGGAAATGTATTATGCATTAAATGTATAAAAAAGGTAGTAAATGTATCAGTTAACTCATACAGTTTGAAGGCTGTGAATATAATGTTTACTGTCTGTAGAACTTCACACCTATTAATTTAAGCTAACATAGGAGCTGATGATGCAGTAGATAAAAATCACTAAAAATGACATTAATAATTGAGTAATCGACTAGTCTCAATTAAGATTTTTTTTTTTAAATATAGACCTAATTAACTAGTAGCGCACTCTACACAGTTTAAACTAAACTCTACTTTCTTGGGAACAGAGAGACTGGGAAGTTTTATATAACCATCTAACCATAAAAGGCATGCAGTTTAATGTAACCCTTGTTCCTTACACACTTCACAGAGAGATGTGTAAATGTCAGCATGCTTTGGTCTGAGTCTCAGGACAACCTTTTTTCTTATGTATTGTTATGTTTTGCTTTAGTTTTGTTTGCACAAATTATTTCCAGTTGAGTCAACTCAGAAAATTACTTTTAAAACTACAATTGCAGACACAAAAAAGCAACTCAGATACACTGTTCGAGATAAAGGTTCTGTGCAGGTACGTTTTTCGTTCATTAAAGGTACAAAAATGTAAATGTTCCCTCAAAGGTACAACAGTGATTTTGAGGTCCAGTTGTGAACTTTAAATAAGTTTTTCCAGGTTAAAAGTGCGTATTTGTACCTTTTCATAACCTAATGTTTTAAAACAGAACAATAAAAAGCCTGGAGACGAGACGGGGTGTGTGGAGTCAATACAACTCAAAATATAATCTCAATGGAATATAGTACAGTTATGTTCCCTGACTGAAGGTACTGAGATGTACCCTTGAGGGTACCACAGTGACAAGAGGGGTACTGCCCCAGTGACGGTTTCATACATTTTTTAACTGTAGTTGAGTGTACTCAACTACAGTTAAAGTATTTTTACTTAAGTAGGGATTTTCAGTACTCTTTTCCACCTCTTAGCGCTGCGTTTGGGGGGAGCCATAACTAGCGGGTGAAATTGGAGACTAAATTGGGGAGAAAAATCCAAAATAAAATAGCTTTTAAACAGAGGGCTGCAAAAAAGGTATTTGGAGTGTAATTTATTGTTGTTTGTTTGATTTACAGTAATACAGCTGCAAGCAGCCTTGACCAGGGTCAAAGCAGAACATTTCCAGCATGAGAGCAGGAGCAGTATGGGTCTGTTTGCGCTAACAGGGCTTATGTCTGGTTGTAAGGTAAGTCAGTTGTAACTTTTTGGGCAGAACTTCATTGCACCAACCGGTCATAAGCTAAATTTTTGCTAAGACCTGGTGTAACTTTTCGCCTAAAGTCGAATTATACTCTTTTTGCAGGTGATTATATCTTCTTTAAACAAGCTAGTTGTTTCTGGCACAGTGTGCAGCAGTGCTTAAATAGCTAAATTCACTAACTTAAAACATAGGTGTATCAAAAGTGCATAATTAGAAAGATGTGTCAGATTTCTCCAAATACCTTTTCATTTTCTTCCATGTATTTGGCAGCTAAAACACATTTGTAAATTATAATGGTAGTTGATCTTTTTTTTTTTCCATAAGTAATTTTGGACCATTTTATTTGTCTGTTCATTATGAGTTTTAACATTATTCTAATGGTATCTAGAGTTATGCAAAAAGGCAAAAAACAACAAAAGTGGAAATACAAGGTTTTTGCAAGACGATATGGAAGGTTCATTGTTGTTGAAGTTACTTTTGCGATTGCTAGAAACAGGCATGGTTAGAATTTGAACATCATAACTCTTTCAACAGGTATGCTGGGACAGGGTGAAAAGCTATACTGCTTATATACTTGGAATGCAGTGCAACTGTTGGTTCTCATAGTTTACACAGAAGTAACTAATATTGGTGCACAAGGAGCTACATCGGTTAACACACAAAGTATTTTCGGGTTAAAACTTTTATTTAAAATAAAACTTCAATCTGCCTCAACCTCATGAAACAATAAAATTACTATAGGAGTGCCGATTTGTTTTGAAAATACATTTGTAACTGTCATAAATAAAGATCAAATTAGGCACAAAGAGAAAAATCTCATTTAACAGGCTCCTTAACAGAATAAAAAAGAAATAGAGTATTTTTTTTTTTATTTAGGCAATACTGGACATAATATCCTTCAGTGTTGTCTGCAGTGCATTCCATGCATGCACACTACAAGGAAAACATTTTCCCTCATCAGTTTTGTGAAGAGCAGGTTTGGGTGGTTGAACATATTTAAACGTGTTGCCAGGAAATCTGTTTCAGTGTGATCTTACCTGAAGAATATGGAGCATGGTCTTCTGTCTGAGGTTAGTGATCTGCAGTTTGTTTAATTGTATTATGATGATGAAAACAGCTAACAGTACTAATCTAGAGTAAGATTCATGTTATTTTCTATTACAGATTTGAATATTTTACTTGTTATCTGAAGTATTGATGTCAGTGTGACAATGGAGGGTTCAGTTCAAATGCCTGCGCTGTCTCTGAAGATAGTGGCAATCATATTAATGATAAGTATGTTCTATAAATGCCTTTTTCCACAATTGGCTCAATCAACTGGAAATCTTTCTCCAATTTGCTAAATATTTGTTTCTGTTCTCTTTAACACTTCACAGGTGGTCTGACAAAAGCACAAACAGGTAATGACACTGTATAATTTATTCTTTTTTCGTGTCACTTGGCTTTGTCCAGTCCATCATGCTTTACAGTCTCATCTATGCTGGACGTTTTTCTAAATTGTGTTTCATTAATTCCCAAATGCTTTCCAGTTTGTGCATAATTGTCATGTTGCTTTGGGTCAGCTGGCAACTCTCCAAAGCTCCTCATAGTCTGCTTCACACACTGTACAATCTTGGGGCTTAAAGTATTACAAAGATTAGAATGTGCACTTTTTCCTATATAGACTATGAGAAGTTCTAGAGCACCCTGTGGAATTTCTTTCTTTACCCCTCAAAGAACTGCATGTTTTTTTCCTTCTTGAAGAGGGGTCTAATGTCCTCCCACAAACATTTCAGAACTTGCATAACTCAATTCTAAGAACTGTTCTTCACAAGGAAAAATGTTGACCTGGACCATACAAGGCAGTTGAATCCACAGGCTACTGAAGTTGCACCGAAACTAATTTTGAAGGCAGGTGTCTCTGGGCCAGATTCATAAAATGCACTGCCAGATTTACACTGATATTAAGAGCAAATAGTGTGGTGGTAACACATTTATTCATTCATAAATGAGGATTCTGACGCGTTTACCGCTAATGTGATGTGAGGAATTACTGCATTTTTACTTCATTTAAATATGCCTGTAGTGATTCATAACACAGTGCAATGCTGCAAAAAAGCACTTGACTCTCTCTGATGGTAATTTTCATGGTAAAAAGCAGATGTCCATTAAATGATATTTTCTACAGTAGTTCCAAAAATGTTTGGTTCCCACATGCAAAACATTGCATACACCAACACTAAGCAAGATATTTAATAGACATGATTTGATCTTTTTGGATGGAGTAAAATGACAAACTTCCTACCTGCTGTAGGATTAGGACTTGCTTGAAATAGATTTCAGATTCAATAGATGACAGATTTAACTGGTATTATATTTAAAATGGCCACTTCTTCCTGCATTAAATTCCATTTTTCACAAATCCCCCTCCTGTGTATGAAAGTGGGTTTAGCTTGGAATCCAGAGGGAAGAGTAATTTGATATGTTAAGATTATATCTGCATGATTGAGTTGATTTCATTGCAAGCAATTTTAATGTTTAATACTATTTTTCTATTTACATTGGGTTTTGACTTTAAACATGGAGAAATAACATTTTTACTGGAAAAAATTGAATTTTTGCTCTTATTTATTAATTGCTGCACATTTTTATTGCATAGTGCAGAGTTTCTTTTTTAATCTGGCCCATTGTATTTAACCCTCTGTGATGCAGACACAATTTGTTGGGGTGTTTTTCAGGGGTATGGACAAATATAAATGGTAACTGCAAGACATACATTAATGGTGGGGAGCCAAGTTTTAGCCAGACACCATTTACATATATGGCAATTTGTAGACACTCTTATGCTTTGTTTTCTGTTTGGGAAAACTTAACTTTAACCTAAAGCATTTTTGGCTTTTTAAGACAAAAATTATTATTAATATATGATAAATAATAGATAATAATTAATATATTATAATATGTTAATATAGTTATATTAGTATAATAGTATTAGTTTAAATGCTCATCACTGAATCCACATTTGGAGACAGGGGCTGAGCTGTTTGGACGGCCTCTTTGTTTTACCACCTGAGTGCCAGTACAGGACACAGTGTTGATGCACCCTGCGAGTGCCGCAGAAGGTAACTCATTTTTGTAGGGAAGACACTGGATTTCATATCCAATGTAAGCAGCTACATGAAGGCAGTGCACTGATTTCAGAAGTGGAGTTATGTGGGTTAAAGAATGAGGGCAACCCATGTTTTTGAATTCTGAATTAGTTGCAAGGGCCCAGTGCCATGTCCCTGAAGACCAGAGATAATTTAGCTGCAATAGTTAAGCCTTGAGGTGTCAAGGTGTTAAACAAACATCTGACTGACCTGTTTACACAAAAAGAATTGAATCATCTAGATATTGTACAGGAGAGAGATGTGGGTTTACAACATGCTGATTGAACTTTACACTAAATATGCTTCATGCCTTTTCAGACAGAGTGACAGGGGAATTCTCAAAGGACAAAACAAAACTGCCACAAGGCATGTCTTGCAGCTCTGTCTTGCTGGGATCCAGCTTTAGGTGAAGGGCTGTCATTCATGATGAGATGTTAGATGTGCTGAGATGGCAGATTTAAATAGCATTGTACTTAGAACAGCCTCTTCTTCCTGCATGCAGGTCATGTAAATCCCTCTCTTGCATGTGTGGTTATTTAATTGAGACATTAAATCTTACATAAAATATAATTTCCTACACTTACAAATTAAATTTTAGGATGTTATATTACATCTTATTACATTACATCATTTTATCTTTTTTATAGTAAAAACATTTCCTGAAAAACTTAATTTCTTGATATAAAGTTAAAAGCATCTTCATCAAATGATTCATTTTGCCAGCACTTCTTCTTTTAAAATGTATAGCTCTATTTCTTAGAATTTTGCTTTTCTTTCTTTGTTTTCATTTTTTTTCATTTTGTTCATTTTGGCAGCCAACCGTGGCTTCACTTGGAGGGTCTGTCATATGTATGACCTCATTTACATGTGGATTTTGATTGGCCCTTGCCTCAAACACCAGAGAAAATACTGCAGCATTAAAAAACACTGGTGAGCTAATCACCACTACTGTCACTTCAATAGCTCTTATTTACCACGCAACACATTTTGTGTGGTGTAGCACAGTTACTGCTGAGTTTTATGAATCTGGGCCCATTGTTTTTAACCCCCTGTGATGCAGACACAATTTGTTGTGTCTCCAAAGTGGAGTTATGTGTGTTAAAGACAACCCATGTTTTTGGACACTGGATCAGTTGCAAGGGCCTAATGCCATGACCCTGAAGCCCAGGGAAAAGTGTGCTGCAGTGGTCAAGCCCTGGGGTGTCAAGGGGTTAAACAAACATCTGAGTGACCTTTTTGAAGAGAAAGGGTTGAATCCTCCAGATGTTGTACAGAAGATACCTGTATGCTAGGTTTACAACGTCCTGATCAGACTCTACACCAAATATGCTTCGTGCCCTTTCAGACAGAATGACAGCGGAATTCTCAAAGGAGGAAACTAAACTGCAGCAGGGCGTGTCTTGTGACTCTCTCTTGCTATGATACAGCTTTAGGTGAAGGGCTATCTTTCTTGATGAGATGTTAATTAAATGTGCTGAGATGACAGATTTAACTGGCATTGTTTTTAGAACAGCCTCTTCTTCCTGTATCACATTCCATGTAACACAAATCCCCTCTTGCATGTGGAAAATAGGTTTAGCTTGGAATCCAAATAAGTGAAGAGTAATTTGATATTTTGAGATTCTAACTACATAATTAAACTGATTTTATTGCAAGCTGTTTTAATGTTTAGCTCCTTAAAATCCTTATTACATACTAAGGCTAATTATTCAGTACGTACAGGGACCTCAGTGCAAACTGACTGAGCTATTCTTAGTTTATCAAAGTGTGTAATCAAACTTTGGGCGCGGTGACGGGCCATTTAAGAGGATAATACTATTTTTCTATTTACAATGGGTTTTTGGAATTCAATTTACATTTGAGAAAATGACAATTTTACTAGTAAAAATTAATTTCTTACAAGTAAAAGCTGAATTTTTATTAGCCAATATTCAACATTTTATTTTCACAAATGCAAATCAATTACTATTACTATTTTTATTGTTCTTGTTTTTTGTTGTTGTTGCTGATGATGTTTTTGAACTATTTAACTGAAATGAAATTGTACATGCTAAAAATGATTTCTTGCAATTAAAAGTTGAATTTTAGGATGTTATACTTCAATTTTTATATGTAATTTTAATAGATTTAATAGATAATTGATTAAAAGTGAAAAGCATCTAAAATACCAGAGAAATTACTGCAGCCTTAATAGACACTGCTGCACTAATCACCACCACTGTCACTTAATGGATACCTCTTATTTAATGTGCAGAACATTTCGTGTGGCGTAGCAAAGTTACGAATGTTGCCCATTGTCTTTAACCACCTGTGATGCAGACACAATTTGTTGCGGTTGCCTCTGGAGACTTTTCAGGAATGTAGATGAATATACAGGGTTGCTGATATGCAAGACATTCAGACAAGACATGCAATTTGCAGACACTCTTGTGCTTTGTTGTGTACATGAGAAAACTTGGCTTTAAACTAATGCATTTTTTCTTTTTGAGAAAAAGTTATTATATTATTTTTGACTTTGTAGGCAAGGCACTAGGTTTTATGTCCAATGTACGCACCTACATGAAGGCAGTGCAGTGAATTCAGAAGTGAAGACCTATGTTTTTTGATTCTGGATCAGTTTCAGGGGGCCTAATGCAGTGTCTCTGAAGACCAGAGAAAAGTGAGCTGTAGTTGTCAAGACTTGAGATGTTAAGGGGTTGGAGAGAAAGGATTGAACTCTTTGGGTGTTTTCCACGAGAAACCTGTGTGTTAGGATTACAGTGTGCTGATCAAACCACACCAAATGTGCTTTGTGCCTTTTCAGGCAGAGTGACAGGGGAATTCTCACAGGAGGAAACTAAACTGCAGCAGGGCGTGTCTTGTGACTCTCTCTTGCTATGATACAGATTTAGGTGAAGGGCTGTCATCCATGATGAGATATTAATCACAAAACATGGAAAAGCCATGTGAAGATATTACATCACCAAGACAGTGAATACAGAAAAATAAGAAGAAAACCGTACTGAGTCTTGTTGAACACCAGTGAAAAGTGTACATGAAGCCAGTGTGGATATTCTCCATACAGGGCCTCTCCAGACAGGGCACAAATTACCGCCATATTGAGCCAATCAATCATATAGATTCCGAAGCTATTGAGAATAGAGAGGAAATGAGCAACACTAGTTGGCAACTGCTGACATTGGAGGTGTCTACTATGATTTTTTTTTTCAAAATCAGTACCACAATATTGTTAAGTGTTAAATGATTGCATGATTTGTTACTACATAACAAAC